TTATAAACACTGTGGCGACAAGTATAAAATATAAACCTGTTTCATATAGCATCGTCGCATACGATTCTTTATCAAAAATGCGAAACTTACCTTCGCACCGTATGAGGAACGCCTTTTTACAACAAATTTGAGACTTTTTGCATTCCACAAAAAGTTCGAAAAACTTTGTAACAGAAGTAAGAAACGATTCTCATTGTACAAAATCTAGAACTTTCCGGACATGATTACATCATTTTGAGACTTCCACAAGAGGCAGTCTTTCGAGAATGAATACAATCAAATGTTTCTGTTTAGAATGGTCTATTATCGGTAATATGACTAATGCACGATATGAACACACAGCATCTGTATTATCAAATGGAAAAGTGTTAGTTACTGGTGGAGCTGATCATAGTATTATTAATAGTGCTGAGCTGTATGGTCCATCAACAGGTTATTGGACAGCTACTGGTAACATGAATAATGCACGATTTCGTCACACATCATCTATATTATCAAATGGATTAGTGTTAGTTACCGGTGGAGCTCACCGTGGTGCTATTAATAGTGCTGAGCTGTATGATCCATCAGCAGGTACTTGGACAACTACTGGCAATATGAGTGATGCACGATTTTGGCACATATTATCTGTATTATCAAATGAACTAGTATTAGTTACTGGTGGATCCAATAGTAAAATGTTTTTAAATAGTGCAAAATTATATTCATTATTTCAAGCAAATTAACTTTCAGTTATCTTATTCTTTTTCTTACAAGTAGTTTAAATTCCAAACATTACTTTAATTAGAAGAATTTTCATTTTATGACGTCCACTAATTATTTTCTTTGATACTTTTATTGAATTATCATTTACTTTAATATTCGATCTCAAACAGGGTGTGGGTGTGGTTGTGAGTGTTGGTGAGTGGGTGTAGATGTCCGTCACTACTCTGCTTACCCTAACATCAACGCCGACACCCGCACCTACACCTACACGTACACCCTCAAGTAGATGATATGGCTTGTTTAGAGGTGCATACGAAAAAGATAAAGGCCTGTCGCAGAAGCTCTCTATTTAAACCAGTCTTATCTGAAAAAACACTAACTGTTGCGACTTTCGAGTATCATACGACGGACATCTCAGAATTTAAAAAACCTTCGTTGTTATGTCTGGAGTGTCTAACTCAAAGGATCCGCTTGGACGCAAGCGCTGCTGTGGTGCAATCATTCTCGGATCTATTGCCATCATTTTAGTTATAACAGGTGGTACAATCTGTGGTATAACGCGTCGTAAAGAAAATAAATTTGCCCAGAGTATATGCTTGGTGTTGGATGCGAAAGTAGACAGTCGTACATGTAAGCGTTCCCATACTGAAGATCTATATTTACACCCAATTGATCCCGAAAAGACAAAAAGTGTTAGTGTTACGAATATTAAAGCGTCCGGTTCGTGTTACCTTCCAGTATGGTTTGTTGAGTTTAACAATACAAGGATCACAGTAAGCGACTTTCAAGCGCGCGTATCAATTGAGGGATCTCCCCAGGCAAAGTCCACTGCTGCGCAGAAAGAACTGGAAAAATATCCTGTAAGTGTCAGTTTAATGTGCTTCTGATAGGTATTCATGTCATCGTTTTTTGTTCATAGATTAATTCTACTCATAAATGTTACTACGACAAAACACCCGGTAAGAATTCTGTTCAATGGAAAAAACCCAATTCAACACCTGGACTAGTATGCCTGTTGGTCGGAGTTGGTCTGACTGTTTTAACCATACCTTTGTGTATTATCTTTGCAATCATCAAGAGTAGGAAATAAGACGAATTTATATGAACTTGTAAAATGAACTCGATTTATAGTTCTCGATTCTCGCTTTTTAGTTATTAAATTTAATTAGATGAAGTTATATGTATGTGTTTGCATGCAGAGTTTGATGGCAACATGTTTTGTGCGCTGAAAGGTGTGCAGTTAAGAGTATAGATACTTACACCCACACCCTCAAGATTGGGACTATCAAGAAGGATCGAGATTGCAGTTTAACGGAAACATCTTCAACTATTCGATGGAACTAACATTATGATACCATATTTATGCATAAATGAATTCAGGCAATTAAGATTTTAAATAAACAAGAGAACAGATATTTATGAAATTCGTATATATTAATTTCGTCATCAGATTGTCTAAGAGCACGTACACCGCTTTTGATTCTTAAAAACTAGTAGTTAGTAATGTAGATCCACGTCTTCCACGTGTAATTCTCGCACTGTGCAATCCAGCTTCGATATGGTTTGTTATTTCCTTCATTTCACGTTTGTTTTGTTGTGCTAGTTGTTTTTGATATTTTTTCATATGAAGTTTGCTGTGGGATTCTAATTGCTTTTGAGTTTCAAGTATTTGGTTTTTGGCGTAGATTTCTAACTGTTTTTGAGTTTGCTCTATTTGAAGTTTAGTATATGATTCTAATTGTTTCTGAATTTCTTGTACTTGAAGTTTGTTTTCGGATACCAACTGTTTTTGAATGTCTATCATTTGTTTTTTACTGTAAGATTCTAACTGTTTTTGAGTTTGATCAATTTGATGATTATTAGAAGCTTCTAGCTGTTTCTGCATTTTTTCTATGGTATGTTTTCCAAAAGATTCTAATTGCCTTAATATTTCTTGCATCTGTCCATTCAATTCATTCAACGCAACATTAAACTGCCTCTCATTTTGTTCTACTAACATCTTTTGTGTTTGAGAAAGTTCAAGTCTGATACGTTCATTGTCTGCATCGATCGATACTTGATATATTTTAATGTTTTCTGTAATATCAGCCTTAAGAATCGCGATTTCATTCTCAATCTCAATTCGTGATTTTTCCAGCTCAGCTTGGAGATGATCCGAATGTACAAAGGTCTTTTGATCACGAAGCATCTGGGCTACTTCAAAAGCTGTTTGTGACTTAGCAGCTGATTTAGTACCGATGTTCTCCACTTGGATGACATTTTTCAAGTCTATAATATCTTTGAATTTTGTTAGAATATCACCTCTGGCATTATGTTTAGCAGGAACTAAATGTCTTTCTTCGATAATGATGTCGGCCACCTTCTTATCCGGAGTAAATGGTGCTAAGTAAACATATCCAAAAATGTTTAAATCTGGATATTTATTGTCTTGAAGATCCTTTGGTGATACTGGATATTGATAAATAGCACCTTCGTTGGTAATTAATGATACATATCGAATAAAGTGCCGCAACTGCACTTCATAAGTCCTCGTTTTGGATGCCGCTATGGTTATTGGTATTAGTAGTTTGCCAGCCGTAAATCCGACAGTATCAGCTATTCGTTGTTCTTTCGGGTTATATTTAGCTGCACATAGCCAAAGTTGTTCAGACAAGGGAACAGTTGATATGATATCTTTATGTCCACCAGTTTTGAGCGCATCAAGTAGACATGCTGTGATATATTCAGCGACAATCACAACAGCCTTTTCCGTATCGCTTTCAGGACGGACATTTAAGAAAACTTCTTTAATCCAGTAAACTTGATCGTTAAAGATGTTACTACCTGTGATTCTTGTCTGCGTATCAATAGATTCGATTTGTTGCTTGTAATAGAGTGTAAGAAGGGCAGCTGTGTCTGACGCAGCACACTGAAGTTCTTCAAAATTGCCCAATACCGAGATATTGTAAAATTCCTTTTTCTGTTGCTTTTTATTGAGCTTTGATACAATTTGATCAGTTACATATGTAGCAGGCTTCAACAAGCTACCGGCTGGCACTATATAAAAGAGTCGTCCTATATATGTAAATACATTTTAAAAGGTGTAGGTTTGGTGCAAGCATAGATGTAAGTAAGATATTAACTTCACACCCACACCCTGACAAATATTCTCCTGTAAGAAAAAGGAATACTCACAAAAATCTGATAACAAGTCGATTTTTTTTCTTCCAAAATCTATCGCTTTGATTAGAGCATGTGGGGCTACTTTTGCCGCTGTTAATTTCAATGATTTCTTAGTAGTAGATTGCAAGTAGCCACCTTGAGCTGCTAGAACACTAGTGAATAATGCTTGTAATCGATTTTCAACTGTTCGATAAAATAGAAATAAATTGGAGTTATCTTTAATAAATTTAATGGTTTTTTGCTTTTTTTCTAGATTTTCTCTTTCCCGAAGAAACAGATCCATTGAACATTCATACATAGCAAGTTTGTTTCTTTGTATTTCTTGTTCATCAAAAATTTTCTTTCTTTCGATAGCAGATAAATCTGGCATATTATTCAAACGTTCGTCGTTTTCTTCCACAATTTTTATTACCATTTGATTATTTTTTTGTAATTCATATAATTGTTTCTCAATTTTCGTTAATTTTTCATTGGAATAATTCAAATCTTTTTGAATTAGTTTGCGAATTTCATCATCCGTATTTGCGTTTACAAGCTCTTGAGATTGTTTTTGTACATTTAAATTCAAGTTTGAAAAGAGATCTACATACGTATTAGGGTCGGCAGGATCAAGATCAGCAAACATTCCAGTTATCACTGTATTCAAACCCACCAAAAGTCCGTGTAGCATTGCCCTGTATTCGTCATTAAGCATTACTATTTTGTCAAATTGTATATTAGAAGGTATATCCTTTTTTAAATTTTGATCATGATGAATTTGAAGAATGTCGACTATTTCCCCTTGATTACATGTCTTAGCGATTTCAATGAGTTCGCAGCATAACTGTCTTTTCTCCTCTCTAGACTCATAACATTCCATGCAAAATTCTTGAATAATTTTTGCTCGACCGTTTTCACAGGCACCAACAAGTACCTGACGGCTATGTTTGGGTATAGTAGTTATTTTTAAATCAATCGATTTAGAATTTTCAGAAACTTCATTGATTTGTAGTACTTGAGCAATACGTTTGAATCCTTGTTTTTGTGCTATTTGAAGAGCTGTTCCACCTGCTCTGTTCTTTTTCTGTTTTGTTGCCGGATACTTAGTTGCAAGAAATTCGACAATAGCAAAATCACCTAAAATAAAGGAAATGGTTCATGCTTCAACTATCTTCGTAACGATAAAATCTTTCAAAGTAAACTGTATAAGAAAAGATTTTTCTGAAACAGACAACGAATAACCTACCTTTTTCAGCTGCAAGAGTAATTGGATAATCACCATTACCATCATGTATCATTGGATCACTTCCACGTTCACAAAGCCATGAGACAAGATCTTTGGTATGGTATTCTACTGCATAATGCAATGGGGTTCGCTCTTGTATATCTATATAGTTGAAATCGGCACCGAGACCTTCGAAAGCTGCTGCGCTTTCTTTATCATTATCAAATATAGCAGTAGCAAACTGTTTATTGAGCTGTTTTTTTAAATATTTTCCTATCTTTTTATAATTTTTCTGATGACACATTTCTATGAGTGATATAGGTTGGTTTTCATTACAATGTAACAAAGTTGCACCACGTGATACAAGCGAAAACACAATACGAAAATAATTTCCATGTTGAATTGCACATAAAAGCGCCGTTGAACCATGACAATTTTTTGATTTGATATCAGCTCCAAGTCGTTGACATTTGGTAAGTAATTTAAAATCTCCAGATGCAGCAGCCAGACGAAGATTGCGATCAGTCAAATTGCGAGTAATGATTAGTGCTACATCGGGTTTCATTTGTTTCTTAATATCGTTTTTAAGCGCCAAATGATCTGATTCAAGCCATTCATCAGGTATTTTCGCTCCGTTTTCACAAAGAATTTTAATTAATTCAATATTTTCATGATGTAACGCTACGGATAGATTACTTGTGTCGATTAGATCAACATTTGCACCTGCACGAATTAGTTGTTTCACAAGTTCTAAGTCATTCTCCTTAATAGCTTCCGTACAATCAAGTGACAACTGATATTTTATATACGAAGCAACATTATGGAATTGTTTTTTTTTGGCAAGTTGATATGGTGAATCAGCTGTAGTATAATTATACATAGCTTCGTAGACGTTATCATTATTCTGAACAAGATAGTCGACAATTAGAACATTATCGGACGATGTACAGGCTAGGTATAGTAATTCAGGTGTTATTGGTATTTCAGTATCATGATACGCCATCATAAGAGAAAAATTTGCTTGTTTAATTGATTCTGTAAGTTGTGTTTGTGCAAGCTGAAGAAGGTCATCACCAATCCGTTGACAACCTTGTGCCATTGTACGAAACTTCCATCGATCATTGCTATTCATTGATTCCAAGTTTGATTTCGTTGTATATTCTTCGTTTGACTTTATTGCCACTTTATAAGGACTCTTTTCATTTTGACGATGACAAATATCAGCACCATCATCTAATGCTTGTCTAGCTAGCGAAACATTTCCATTCCTGGCAGCAGTGAACAGCTCATTGTTCGGATCACGTTTAAGAAAACTAGACCGTTCGTTTCCATTTTCTCTCCTACTTTCCTGTACAGATCGACGTTTTTCAACAAGGTTAATGTGTCTTATTAATTCACAAGTCTCTGTATCGAACGCCCGTGGACTTCGTGTGGTACTTTCTTCTTCATTACCGTCAACTCTGGAAAAAACTAGTTCATTCAGAAACTCAACAGTTTTCTTTTTTTCAATTTCACCTTGTTTTGTTGTCGTCTCAGATTTTTGTGCTAAAATAAGTGGTGTTTGTTTCGATAAATTTTGAGCTGCTTCGTCGGCACCCCACAAGACTAAATATCGAACGATGCGATAATGACATTTTTTTGCTGCTAAATGCAATGGAGTATCGGCATTTTTATTGGAGACATTCAACTTAACATCTGCATATTCTCTCAGGAATTGAACGATCTCAATTTGGCCATACTCAGCTGCAATGGATATAGGGCGATCATCGTTGACATTTTTTAATTCACAGTTCGCTTTTAAATCTCGAATAAGGTACTCGACGAATGATTTCGTTGTTGTTTTACATGCAAAATGTAAAACTGACCAACCCTTGTATAGATCATTGTCATTATTTAAATGATTAATTTGTGCTCCGTAGTCGACAAGCTTTTTTATCCCGTTACGTAAGTTTTTATTTTGATCATCAGTAGTACTGGCATGTATAGCATAAATCCATAAGCGTCTGTTTAATTCTTTTTCAATTAAATCAGCATATTCGCGTTTGTTGCGTTCGTTTGCAAAATCATATAGAGTTTGTTGCGTTATATGGTTGAAGAATACATTTGTTGATACTTTTTCCAATTTTAGAAAAGTACGAAGAACGTTTGGTGATCTCTTCTCGTCTTCAATGTAGAGTTCAATGGGTCGACGTTTTTGATTATTCGTTGCTAATAAATCGGCGTTGAATTCATTAACGAACGTTGTCAACATCTCAGGTGTACCATCATGAGTAATTAGATAATGAAGAAATGAGTTGTTATTACTAACTCGGGCATTAATATTGGCTCCTTTCTGTAATAAAGAATAAACGTCTTGTATTTTTAAACGGGATCGTTTGCTTCGAATCAATTCTTTGAATTCATTGTTGACACTCTGTTCGAATAGAGTAGCGATCAAGCGAGCATTTCTCGGTATCATTTCTTCAGCCACTTGAAGCGGAGTCTTATCGGATGTATTCTTATGGCTTATGTCAGAACCATTAGCTATCAGAACTGGGACAAGATCAACATTGTTTGAGAGAACGGCATTTAAAAAAACAGTATTTCCAAGTTCATCTGTTGTTTTTGGATTCGCTCCCAGTCGAATCCAACTAACCACTTCATTGACATCTATTTGAGGATGCGTGAACGGAATTTTATTTAGTAACATATCAAGCTGCTGTTGTAAATAGTTTGTAACATCTATAGTAGATCTTTGATTATTTTTTGAAAGAGATAAACATGTTTGTTGACGATCATCTTCTTTAGTTAGAACAAACTTAGCATTCTTATCAGTTTCGAGAAGAAACTGAACGACATCGAGTCGAATGTCGTGTGCGCTCTGACTTAGTAATTCTCCTAACAAACCTAATGATCCATATTTTTGTTCCTGTTGACAGTTTGCCCGTAATGTGACCAAACCTTTCATTCTATGAATATCACCACTGCCTGATAAAACCATCTCTGACAAAAGTTCAGATGCCGTTTGTTGCAACAATTCTATCACCCGTCGACAGTTTTTAGCTTTGAGAGATGTTTTCGGCATTTGAGTTTCTTCTTCGATAACACTCTCGATCATTGATTTTCCATCACTCATCGAACCTCGAATATCAGCACCTCGTCTAATAAGTTGCTGTATCTCGGCATAAGAGTTGTCTTCACCTGGACGTTTTTTTATAATTTCTCTCAGAAGTAAAGTTGGATCCGACATTGATTCAGTCTAATAATTGTTGCAAAGGATGGATAATTTGCTTGCTAAAACAGATAAGAAATTTCAAAGCTTCTTCCAGACTATAAGAAGAAATCTAGGCCACAAGATCAAAAAGTCATAAATCGAAAGAAAACAAAAAAGTAACTCTTGGTGTGTGATTTTTCAATTTTTTTTAATTTCTTAAAGGATTTCATAGCGGTTGGCAAAAAGGATGTCGACCCAAAAATTTTATTACATTTGTCTCTTTTTTAGATGTTTGATGAAAACGACTCGTATTTGGCGTTGCGGCTTTTAGAAACGAACATCGTACTTACCTGAAATTTATTTAACTAAAATTCGTCTGTCAAGGTAATTTAATCTGGACAAGAAATTGATAATAACAACAACTCTTTGTTGTCTTTTCTCGTTGTCTGGCGTGTGGAGCGTTATCTTTTGAGAAGTCACTATCGGTTAATTCGGGGAACGAACCTTTTTTTTTCATCTGCGGCAGCTTTCCTTTGTCATCTTTAGGGTGTGGGTGTAAATTTGGGTGGGTCTGGGTCTAGGTGGATCTGAATCTGGGTGGGTACGGGTGGTTATGATTTTGGGTGTGAGTGCTTACTTCGTTATTATTGACAAATTCGCACTCACACCCGTCCCACACCTACCCCACACCCACACCCATACCCACAGCTTCATACACCGACAAGTACACCTTAGCGTGTGAAGCGTTATCTTATGTGAAGTCATTATCAGTTGATTCGGAGAACGAACCATTTACTTACCTATAGCAGCTTTGCTTTGCCATATACTCAAGCAGTCCTTCCAGTCATAAAAATTAAAGAATCAGTTGCGTATTGTCTATTGTGGCAAATATCAACCAGGGCTAGCTCTGTTAACAATAATATAAGAATTTTAATCATTGGTGCCGGTTGTAAAATGTCTTCGTCGAATATAACAAAATCTATTACAGACCTTCGTCAAATGGATGTAGAACTTAGTGCTGCTGTCTCATTCCCAACTGGTTTTAGAGCTTATTACCGAAATAACTATACAACTGAATATAATATTGCTGTAACCAACTGGAATATACTAGAGTGCAGTGCTGAAAAGAGGCATATGCAAGATGGTTACTTACTGTTACATCGTATTTTCATAGCTGGTTATCTAATAATAGCCGCATGCTCTATAATACCATTAGTTGTAGTAGCTAAATATACAGGCTACATTGCGGTCCCTATTATCATCAGTCTTATTTATACAGCTCTTTTCATTTGTAACACTTTGATTTTTCATCGCAATGGTAAACTCGATCACACAAGAATGAAACCCGTCGACGACGAAAACCTGAAAGGATTCGCTAATGAATTCTTCACCATACCAAATAATGGCCCTGTCAAAGATCAGCGATTGACTGAAATACTCGGTCACAATGCATCAGCAGTGATCACTGATATACAGCAACTCAGTGGCAAGGTAGATCCCGTAGCTATCATGGTCTATGATAATAGATACCGACGTTATCAACGTTTTCCCCTTGAGGCCATCTTGCAAATGATTATTATGTGGTGTTTTACCATCATTGTTATTGCACTTGGTGCAAGCGCAGGTACTGTTTCTAACAAAAAGGAACCTTTTGTAATAACAAACATTTTTATTTTATTTTTGAGCGGTAGATGAGTAAATCGATGTGTTTTTATGCTATAGAATGCAATGAGAGAAAGGTTGGATTTTGGTCATAATGAAAAATTTGACATAATCAGTCACTCATGAAATTTATTTCAAATTAATAAGTTTCCCAGGAGCTTCCCGTTTTCGACATTCATTGAGAAAACCGTAAAGGTCAGGAAAGTCGAGATTTTCTGGTAGAAGAGTTCTGTAGTCTTCAACGAGATTTTGGAATGATAATATAATTCTTAACAGAATCAACAAGATTATACACTGTCTCAGCGATGATCTGAGGTAAACATTCCGCATAGTCTCTATCCAGATACGCATGAGACTATAGTGAGAAAGACCCATTTGTGACTCCAAAACGACTTTGAAAAATGTCGTAAGCTGCCCAACACTATATGATTTTTAGCTTTATTTGTAAATTGCAAACCTAAAGAACAATTGTTTTCTTCATCAGTTTTCTTTTCCGAGAGACAAGTAAAAACTGTTAAACATTTTTGGGAACTAAAAGATCTTGCTTACAGAAGACTCAACTTTTATATCACATACGACTTGTGATCAAGATAATCATATGAAAAAACCTCCGCAGCCCAACAGTCGGTCTTTAATTTATGTGTAAGAAAGAGTTAATGAAAAATAATTTATGAAAGCTCTAATAACAGTCTCGTCAAATAAGCTTTTTATATACAAGAAAGGAGTCGTACACTACATACACAGTCGAGGCTTCGCTACAGAATACAAACTACCAAACAATGTCGAAATATTTTTTATGTTATATAATTGCACACTGGTGAGCGAAAATATTTTTCTCATTTTAGCCACCGGAACGGCAATAACTTCGACTCCAGTTTCACTTACGACAGGTAAATATTGCTAAGATTAAATGTGTTCTTGAACAGATCAGATCTACTCCTTAGTTTGGTAGAAAAACACATTTGTACGAGTAAGAGTAAAGAAATACCAGAACCCTCACGCTATGACTCTTTTTCACCTTGAAACAACGTCTAACGTGCTGTTCCCCCAGTACACTACTATAACGAAAGAATTCGAGGACAGTTCAAAATACAATAACTGCAAAATTACTAATTCAATTGGACCGAAATTTTCGAGTGTAAACGAGCGATGAGCCTACTACTTAATGTTAAAGTTTGATCTCAGGAACAAACTATGCGTACTATGGACATTACATGTACATCGACTAGAAAGTCGTGCGACGGACCCTGAACAGTTGAATTTATCGGAATTGTTGCGTTTTGATGCGTCGAGTCAAGAGTGCGGTATTAAACGCATAATAAGGGGCCCCTTGTGTTGAACACAGGCACCTGTGAAAAAACACAACATTTGGACAAATCTAGGTCTTTGCATGGCGTAAAGGAAAAGGAAACGTGTGATTGTTGTAATGCGTTTTTTCATCCTTCTGATTCTTAGATAGAAGCCACGTCGTAGCGAGTTTTAGAGAAAGAGAATTATGCTAATTATTATTGCAAATTTCTTTTATTTATTCACAAAGGAAAAGATCCTTTTCAGTCTATTTTCTTACTTGTTTTCGCATGACTACTTTACATTACTATAGGAACTACACCACCTTCTGTATCATCGTTATATACGGGTACACTATCATTCAACAGTGGACTTTTTTCTCGACCTGGAGATAGCACACAACGTTCGTTCTATTATCAAGCTGTTGAAATTACTGTATCCACAGCTGGCATTTACACTATCCAGAGCATCAGTAAAATTGACACGGTGGGTTATTTTTACAATACTTCTTTTGATGTGAACAATTCAGCAGCGAATTTAATGATCAAGGATGATGACGGCGGAGAGCAGTTGCAATTTTGTATCAAAGTGCATTTGGAGTCCGAAGAGATGTATATTCTGGTGATCACAACGCATTGGGAATCCGTTACGGGTCAGTTTACAATTTCAGTTGTCGGTCCATCCAACGTCAGCTTCACGTCGATCGCACCATCAACGACTCCTCCCACAACAACAAGTAAGTTCTATATCTACACTCTTAACTGTAAGAAGATATATGATGCAGTTAGTATCTTAACAACTCACACGATGGCTTGATGATGTGGGTGTGGGGATCTTTTGTTGATATCATCAGATCCCCGTATCGCCACTTACAACGATGCTATTTCTTCCGTTAATTTTTTTTGTGCATTCAACAAGAAAAGATTCTCTTTAGTTCTTTTTGTTATTTGTCTTCATATGACTGCTTTCGATTACTTTAGGATCTCCGACGCCTTCCGTATCATCGTCGTATACGGATATATTATCATCTAACAGTTCATTTTTTTCTCGACCTGGTGGTGGCACAGATCACTCCTTCTACTACCAGGAGATTGAAGTCACTGTATCTGTGGCTGGTAATTACACTTTCCAAAGCAATAGTACAATTGACACTATGGGCTATTTTTACAATAGTTCTTTCGATCCAAACAATACGGCAGCGAATTTGATGGCCAAGGATGATGACAGTGGAAATCAGTTACAATTTCGTATTCAAATTTACCTGGAACCTAAGCAAGTGTATGTTCTGGTGGTCACAACCCATGTGCAATCTATTACTGGAAATTTTTCGATCTTAGCGGTTGGTCCAGCCCTAGTATGGGAAAACACAGAAGGTAGTGTTATTAACGTGATTGAGCATTGGAAAGTCTTGATTGTATCTGTATAACAATGGGTATAGGCGGATATGCGTATACAATCAGCTCATACTAGTCACACCCACACTGACTCTCTAAATGGGTTTTTGAGGTTAATGAATCTCATATTCGGGATGTCCATCCTCGGTCACTTGTGTTTAATGTCCCCACTGTTCTTTTTCTGAAAGAAAGGGTCTGTCAAACAAAAATGTTTGTCCGTCTATCCAACCAATTACAGGGTGTGGGTGGCGTAGATGTGTCTGTTTGGTTCACATTTAATATAACACAAACAAAAACCTACACCCACACCCTCTGCACAATAGAGAGCTTGCTAGCCACGAGTCAAACCGTGAAAAAATTATAATTTTCCATATGGAAACAGCTTTTTGTTTGTTTGTGTTTTGTGTGACAGCCCCTGAAATCCTAATTGGTTGAATAGTCTGATATTATTAGTATGATTTCGAGATTCCTGTCATTTACTTTTACAGGTATTGAAGTCTGTCCACACACATGCGCAGCATTTCAAATCTGCTCCAATGGCGCTTGATCCCGAATACCGATATTACGCGCCAGCAAAAGAACATGTCTAAAATTTCAAAAGAAACTACGATATAATTTGTGAATAAGTCACTGTAGGTAGTGGAATGTTTAGAATTACTATGACGTGGTCGCGCCCTGATGACGGTGATATCCACGTGACAACACCAGGGGGTTATTCTATCAACTACAACAATATGGGTCCAAATGCAGAAACGGAATTTGGTCATATGGATAAAGATGATAGAAAGGGCACTGGTCCAGAAAATGTTTTCTGGAACACGACGGCGCCTACCGGTATTTATCGTCTTTGCTTCGATCAATATGATTTCACTATCCGTGCAAACGCGAGCAATCCAATAACAGTGACATTTGAAATACAAAAACTAGGAGCAGCTACGCAAACGTTGACAAAAGAGTTTATTAGTTATGCTCGTATCCAAGGTATCTGCAGTTTAACCGATCCGACATACGTGGGCACAGTTAATTACCCATGATTACAAGTTTATGATTCACCCTATCTAACATGACTAGAAAACTGTCTTTGCACTTATAAGTATAGTTACATGTTATTTATGCCTATTGCATCGTACTAAATAAAATTTTACTCAAAAATTTCCTTTCAAATCTTGACTGGAGTTGCTTGATTTACATACGTTGACCCAAATCACTGCTGCTTGAATTCAGATTAGTTATATCTGAAAAGCAGTAAATGTCTTGTTTGTATTGAATACTCTAATTGCATCGTAGTTTGAATAATTATTATAGGTTGTGGTGTGGGAGTGAGTGTTGTGGGTGTGGATACTGTATTCCTCTAGCACCCACACAAACACCCTTTCGTAACACGATTTTGTAAAGATCTACGAACTTCTAGATGCTCGTTCGAACATTATCAGAAAGGTAGATGTCTCGGAATGATTATTCACTCGACTGTGCAGGGTGTGGCTGTAACAGTAGCCTAATATAATATACACTCACACTCTAATCATCAGCGACTATCATGGTCTGAGGAGGGCTGCAAAATTGTACGCCTAAATACTCCTGTTAGTTCATGTTTGACAAAAGTATTCTAACGTCGAAAGAAAGCTTTATTTTATCTTATCTATACGAGTATTCTATTAACAATCTATTTATATGGAGAGTCGAACAAACGAAAAGAAGAACGAAAGAAATGGGGGTATATAAGCAAGCACTAACCTATTGAAGAACAGTTTAGAAAAAGACTTCTTCTTCATTACCTGTTCGTAAAAAAACGTGCGTGTGTTGAATTTATTTACCGCCTTTTGCCCGACAGATTACTTCATCAATCAAAAAATAATGTTATCATTGATCTCTGTTGTTTGTTGGATCTTAATCTTTCTATCCATAGTTTCAACGACAACAATTAAAATTCCATTGACAAATAACGATTGGCAGATTTCATCGCCGAATCTAACAGCTCGTGGTAGAATTCCTGGTACTATTCACACAATTCTGTTAGCATCTAATCTGATTGAAGATCCATACTATGGCTATAATGATGTTAATCAACGTTATTTAATTTATCAGAATTGGACATTTCAAACGAATTTTACATTGACTAAAGATCAATTACAAATGACCAATTTTCAACTAGTTCTAGAACAGATCGATACCATTTCATCGGTTATTTTGAATGACTGTCAACTGGGTAATACTAGTAGTATGTTTTTCACCTATCTATTTAATGTTACAAAAACATTCTGTCAGTTGAAAGAAGACAATAATGAATTGAAAATTGAAATACAATCACCTATACAATATGCACTTCAACAATCTTTACTGTATCCATATTATGTTCCACCGAATTGTACAGACTCAAAATCACATGGTGAATGTCATTATCAATTTATACGCAAAGAAGCATGTTCATTTTCATGGGGTTGGGTACGTATACATTTGCATTAATATATTGAATTGAAAATCTTTCGTACCAACAACGATTGACTTTTATTCACTACTTCAGGGACCTGCCTTTGCACCTATGGGCATCACTGGTGATATTTATTTAGAAGCAACAGATACGAAAGACACATCACAAATTAATTTTGATCTATTTGGTGTCAATGTTAGAAAATGTTTCGACATTACCCATGTAAAAAAGTTGTGAAAATTATGATTTTTTATGAGAAATCCGATGAGAAATCGATTTGAATGGTACGATTTTAATAGCTTGGTAATCAATTAAGTTGAAATAATCAGTTAAAATCCATTAAATTGTTGTAAAAAATCAATTAAAATCGATTATTTTTTCACGAAAAATCAAATATCATTGGATTTTAATCGATTATATTCAAGTTAATCGATTTTAATTGATTTTCTACAACAATTTAATGGATTTTAACTGATTATTTCAACTTAATTGATTACCAAGCTATTAAAATCGTGCCATTTAAATCGATTTCTCATCGGATTTCTCATAAAAAATCATGATTTTCACAACTTTTTTACATGGGTAACGATAGTAATTGCTGGAATGTTGATTTTTATTTAAAATTTTCAGAAAATCCTTTTCAACAATCTAATACTTACCAGACAATTCATTTTCGTCTCTTACATACCAACTGGACTTACACTTTGAATATTTCTTCTCTCACTTTTCCAAATGCTAATTATGAATCTGCATCCATCACTGTTCATATTCCATCTCATCATATTAAATTATGGTGGCCCAATGGTTATGGAGATCAATATCTCTACGAATTTCAAGTTGAATATCAATCTCAATTGAAAACAAAACGAATTGAATTTCGTACTATTGAACTAGTTGAAGAAGATTACACAGATCTCGGTCTGAATGGAACATCATTCTATTTCAAAGTGAATAATCAAACAATTTTTATTAAAGGAAGTAATTGGATACCAGCAGATGCATTTCAAGAACGTATTACACGAGAATATTTGGAACGATTACTTTACTCTACAGCTGAAGCCAATATCAATATGTTAAGAGTATGGGGAGGTGGCGTCTACGAAAAAGATGATTTCTATGAATTAACAGATCAATTAGGTATTATGATATGGCAAGATTTCATGTTTTCAGATAGTTTGTAAGTTCTAAGAACTTAAATTTCATATAAGAAGAAGTTCTTTAAAATCTTCTCTATTTTAATTTATATGTAGATATCCAACTAACATTGCTTTCTTACAGAATATTCAGAATGAGATCTCTTTTCAAGTTAATCGTCTTAAATCACATCCATCGATTGTACTCTGGTCTGGAAATAATGAAAATGAAGCTGGTATCAGTAAGCGTTATAGTGGATATCATATACCCGATGTAGATCGCCCAAAATATGAAAACGATTATCGTTTACTTTATGTTCATCTAATACTAGTTTTAGTTGAGACACTCGATCCAACACGTCCCTTCGTCACTTCATCACCATCTAATGGTTGGGAAACTGTCAAAGAAAATTATATTGCAGATGATCCTCAATCTCCATTGTATGGTGATGTTCATTATTACAATGATAAAGTTGATCCATGGAATTATACTTATGTGCCAATTAGTCGGTTTCTGTCGGAGACCGGTCTACAATCAATGCCTAGTCTAGAAACTTTATTACAAATTACGAATGATTCAAAAGATTTATCGTTTGAAAGCTCATTAATGAGACATCGACAACATAATGTTAGAGATGGACAAAAACAATTATTGTAAAAATAGAGAAAACTTGTCTATATTTTCAATTATATCTAATAAATCTTTTTTTTAGACTAGAAATGATGTTTAATCTACCGCTTCCATTAATAAATGATAGTTTACAAAATTTCACTTTACTTATCTATTTATCTCAAATAAATCAAGCAATGTATATTAAAACGCATAGTGATCATTGTCGACGATATTCTTCTCGTTCAATGATGAATAAAAATAATTCACAAGGTAAAAATAGTTTTTATCACACTTAATCTATACTCTACATTCTATCAACTAGGTCACACAATGGGTTTAATGTATTGGCAATTAAACGATATCTGGCAAGCTCCTACCTGGTCTTCAATAGAATACGGTGGAAAATGGAAAATGTCACATTACTATGCCAAACAAGTCTATCAGCCAGTTTACGTTCTACCTATTTTAGAACCTTATTTAACGTACGATACAACATCTTTAGTTAAAATTTATTTTATCAATGAAAAATTCAATGGAACACATGGACAAGTTCATTGTCAGATAAATGATTTTCATTCATTTACTCCACATCTTCGACTTACATTCGACGTTAATATGAATTCAAGTGATGTGAAAATCTTAAAAGAAATGCCCTATCAAGAATTATTACGTCAATCAGAATGTTCGAATGCTACCGATTGTATACTTCGTTGTTCGTACTCAGAAGATTTCGAGAATAATTATGAACAAATTCTTTTCTTCACACAACCCAAAAACTATCAATTACAGAATCCACAATTACAAATTCTATCTGTCAAAAATCGTACATAGATAGACTTCGATATTACTTTCACTATACAATCTCCTGCACTCTTTCTTTGGTTCGATGTATTTGGTGTCAAAGGTAGATTCAATCAGAATGGTTTTCATTTATTTCAAACGAACAAAACAATTACATACAGTACGTGGATACCTTCAACATCAGAACAAGTTCGTCAAGGATTGACATTTCAAACACTTTATGATGTAACAAATGTTATTTAAAACATAACAGGCTCAATTTTTCTATTAAAAAGTTTCATTGCGATTTATATTTTCTGGATGATCGATGGCGAACTGAGAGTAGGTTTGAAATCACTTTCATTAGATAAAAGAGAGAGGACTGATCCGAATAATGTAGTATTTATTAAATTAATTAGTTATTGAATTTTAGAGTTTTCAAATTGAAAAATAGTGATAAAGATAAAGACAAAAACAATAAAAGATTGCTATTTCTACTGCAACTGCACAATCTGTTTTGTGTTGATTAGTTGTGTATTGCAACGCCAACAGTGCCCAGGCAACTTGATCATATTACCACCTGCAAAAGTCACCGCTGCTTGAGCGTAGAGACGACCGATTACACTGGCGAAACGATCGACAGTAATTGAGGCGTAAGCAAGTATTTGTCCTATAAAGGAGCAATTCCCTCCTAACGTTGCGCTGCTTCCTACCTTAGACACCTGGAAACAGAGTTACACCTGATAAATCTGAATTAGCAAGTATGTTGTTGCACGTAACACCTTTGAGGTATCCATACGCGATCAGTTCGTCAGCTGCACAGTTTATCGCGAAGTCCCTATTCGCTTCCGTCGTGTAGTTAGTACCTAGCACTGAAAGGCCAGTGATGCTTGTACCAGGAGCGACACCCACATGAGCACAACGACCGAAGATAGTTGTATTGTTCATGTATCGAGTAGCCGCATCGGAAATGCACATGGCAAAGGCAATAACAACAACCATTAGTGAAGCACGAAGAAGTGAGATGAAAGGCATCATAGAAATGAGGGAAAAGTATATGTGTGACTGTGTGCCTTCCGAACATCAATATATATATATAGAACAGAGGAGGGCAATGATTATTAACGAACGGAGGACGTGGCAGATAAAATAAAAGAAAGCAGTTCGACGAGTTGGTACTCGATACAGAAGAATAGAGAAAACTGAATTTTTCTGTGCTTTTCTTGCCAGCGTATCAATATATTATTATAGTTCGTATATTATACATAAAAAAAAACATAAGTTCAAAGTGTACAAAAGAAAACTAGTATACTGAGTATGTATCTTATATTTACTCATATTCACAGTGAATAAATATATTGTTATTGTGCTATACATCATTTATTTAATTTGCGATCATCTGCTGAAGTTTCAAAAGGAAAAATTCGTGTAGATCGATTCATGTTCTTGGATTGAAAATACGATATTTGAGAGAAGTTGTAAACAACTTTTGAAATGTAGCAATGTGGATAAACAGGAAAAAAATGATACTTATCTTCCATACTTTTCAATGGACCATTCATTGACGAAAATGTTTGAATGAGAGATAAGAATCCAAATACAAGAAAAATCATTAATAAATATGTCTGATAATATTGTTCGAATATATATAGATAAGTATCATATGTAACCCAAAAGCCATGCCAAATAAATAAACATGACGCAAAGGCTAATCCATGAACAATATTTCGATGAAATTGTGGAAAATTCAATGAAAAAAAAGTGAAAAAGTCATATTTTAAATTAATTTTATCCGAGTAATATTGACAATACATCAATGGAAAATAAAGAGCGTAACCAATTATTATACAAACCCAAATCGATTTATTAATATCATCAACATACAAATATTGATCTAGAATAACATAAAAACCATGCCATATAATAATTGTAAGATTAGAAATTATAATTTCATATAATATAAAATTCATCAAATTGATTTTCCATCGATTCATCTTTGAAAAGAAAATCATTTCTTAATTTATATATATGTATTCTATTTTTAATAAGAAAATATACTTACATGTTCTGTGAGAAGAGGACATTCAAATTGAACACAATATTCAATCGAATCATAACTAACAACAAATGGAGAACAAACTAAATCTGATAATGTTCCTGTAATAACAATTAGAATAAAGACTGATGCTATTGAGAAAATCATCATAAATGGCCAATCTAGAGGAGTATATTGATCCAATATAGTCCAGATCATTTCCCATTGAATAATATATAGAAATGATAATATTAATATATGAATTTTAATCAAAATCATTCTAATAATAGATTTTTGTATTTTAAGAAAATCGTAAAATAAATCTTGACTAAGATACAAAATAAGTAACAGAATTTCATCAACTATATACGAAATAATTAAAGATTGAGGAGAATAATCACCATATCCATAGTCAGTATAATCAAGTCCATCAAGATTATAAGTTAATGCATAGTCATTCAATGAATTTAACATTGTAACAATAAGATTCCATCCACAATCCCAGAAGAGAACCAATATTGGAAAGAGAATACAACTGGCAAGAATCGGTTCAATAATAAATAATAAAAGATATAAACCTTTTGGTTTAACAATATTTTCTTTATTATTATTATTATCAACAATAGAAATGATCTGTGTTAATCGATGTCGATTCGTGATCCCATCAGAATTAGGAAGTGGTTGGGATAATTCAGAATCAATAACTTGAATTTGTTGTTGATTAGAATATTCATTATCAAAATTCTTTGAAATGATCGAAAATCGACGGTGATTATTACTTGATACACTAAGACGACGAGTTTTGCCGTCAATTCGAACAGTAGGTAACATAATCAATTGATCTCAAGTTATTTTTGATTATCACGTTCAATATTTGATAAACTTTAAATAAAAACAGTTTTAGAATGACATGTTCAACAAAAGAATGGAGAACAAGAATTTCCTTTCGGAGGACTACAGACAATTCTTTCACATCTTAATTCTTGTTCTTAATCTAGTCTACTCATAAAAAATGAATCAAACTTAATTAATCATGATCAACTTACAAATGGAAGATTGTTCAAATTGTTTTATTTCATCAGAATAGGGCTCTGCATCATGTATTAAATTCGTTATAAACTGTCTATTTTTTGTTGAATGATCAACAGACTGAATTGAATCGAATCAAGTCGATATTAATGAGAAAACTTCAATGGTTTCAATTTTTGATTAAACTTCATAAAAAAGTCGACTTTTCGTACTATTGATAGAATCTGTACAAATACTTTTTTGAATAAGAATTATCAAAAAACGAAATTTGCATTTTGTTGTTCTGTTTTGCAGGGTGTGGTTGTCCTCTTTAGATCAAAAAAGGACATTCGCACCGACATCCACACCCTCTAGTTGAAATTAAAACATTAAAAATGTTCTTAGAGCATAAAACAAAGAACTTTCTGAAGTTTGTTTTTAAGATAAGCAGAATCTATCTAAACTTTCAAATCGTGTTATCATTTTATATGTTTGTAAATTTGAAAAATGACTTGCAGATTTTTCTCTAACAATGAATAATATTTTCGATCAATCGATTTCGGATGAAATTTGTTTATTTAATGTAAAATTTGAATAAGTATTATAATACAGAAGAAGAAAAAGCTAGAAAAGTTTTATTTCAATCGAAAGAAATCGTTTTTAGTTGGGTTTTCGATCATTGTTTTCATTATCTTTTTTTGCGTATTTTTCACAATTTTTATCAAGCCAAAGTTTTAATTGTTGTTCTGCATCTTTAGTTTCTAATTGTTCATCAGCAGTTAAAGTTGAAATAACATCGGATTGAATATTTTCAGCATCTTCTAGACGAGCAACTTCTTGTTGTTTATGAAATAAAATAAATGTCGGCACGTTTATAATGTTATATGTGGTAATTAATGGATTTTTAATTTTAGATTTGACACATTTAAAAACAAGAAGCTCATATGTACGTTCATAGTTAATTCTCCATAAATTAAATTTTTGTTCTATATCATTTTCATTCGAAGAACTACTATTATTTGAAAAAATTGAAAAAAAATGAAAAAAATGATTTCAATATTTACTTTTTATTGAATAAAAGTAAGACTAAATCATGTTCTGATAAGTTTTTATTTACTTCTTCTTCCGTTGTAAGTACTTTACATGTATTATAAGTTAATCTAGTTCGAACTGCCATAGAATCACAATTAGACGATGATCAATACTAAAAAAAACTTTTTCAGCAATAACAATGGAAAAAATTTATAATGGATGGAATTTTTCAAGGTTGTTGCTATTGTTAGTGTTACCATAGTTGAGTAAATAGTTAAAAAAACAGGAAGAAATAAATTTTCCCAGACACATTTAAATATATTATTTTTTTCTTTTCTTTTTCTTTTGTAAAATTGAAATAATGCCATCGAATCGTATAAATATCACTACGGAATCAATCTTAGTACGAAATAACAACAATAAAGAAACGTGGAAGGAACTTGTCGAAAAAAAAATTAAAGAAAAGGAAGGAATCTTAGCACAAGTAACATGCCATGTCTTTTCGGAATCTAGTGGTACAAAATATGATAAAAACAAGAAATGTGCTTGTGGTCGATTAGCACGTCAACATAGTTTTACTGGTTTATCAAAAAGTGACTACGCCGATGAGACTAATTTTAATGAAGACAAATTTATTACAGAACTATTACCATTATCCGTTTATGGTCAACTTGGTCAATTTAGTGATGGCGCTCGAGTATATTTTAAAATTCTAATAAGATTTTTTTGAATTCTTATTTTATTTTTAGTTTATTCGATGTTATGCAGATGATCCAATTGTACATGATCCTCTAACTGATTTAATTATAGAAGATGTTCGTATAAAACCTACTTTACTTGTTAGTTGTTTTGGTGGAGCAAAGTATTTTAATATGACTAATGAATTAGAAAATGAATTTAAAAATGGAATTTCACAAATAGCAACAACTCCAGGTAAAAATTTCATTTTAAAAAATTTTAATGTTCTCAATTATATAATGAAGGTGTTTGGTTATTAACAACTGGTTTAAATCATGGTGTATCAAAATTTATTGGAAATATTGTACATCAATCAATGTTATTAAATAAGAGATCAGTAAAAGCAACTCTTATTGGTATAACCAGTTGGGGAATATTAAGTGAAAATACACGAAATGTTTTGAAAAAGAAATTAACATCAAATTTAAATTGGAATGAAAACGAAACACTTGATAAATATCATACACATTTTCTTTTATTAGATGATGGACGTATGAATATTCATCTTGGTGATCAACCTCGTTCTCAGTTTGTTGATGCTTTAACAAAAAAAGTTGAATGTCATGCAATAACAATTATTATTGAAGGTGGTTTAAATACATTAGAAGTTATTTTACATGATATGAATAAGAAACGACCTGTTGTTATTGTACAAGGTAGTGGACGTTTATCTGATCTAATTGGAAAATTATTAGATATTTCAAATAAAAAAAAGATAACTCAGTAATATATTAAATTAATTTCTATACTTTTTCAAATTATTCTGTTTAGAGAATTTGATATCGAAAATGAAATAATATTATTTTTTCCTAAATTTAAAACTGAAAATGATGAAGAAAAACAAAAAACGATTGTATCAAGTTTAAACGAAGTCTTAGATATGAAATATCGTCAATATTTAAATATATTTAAACTTGAACGTGATAAAAGTCTGACAGAAACAATCTTTAAAGCTGTTGACAAAGGTATTCGTAGTCCTGTTTTGTTATTCTTTTAATGAATTTACATTTTTAGCTCAAATTGATTCAAACCAACAACCAAATTTTTTAAAACTAGCGATTAGTTGGAATTATAAAGATAGAGCAAAAACAATGTCGAATCGTTCACAAGTATTTTCATTTTAGTAAAAGTTTATTTTTAAATTTAATTTTTATCAGGATAATACAGATCGTTATCCAGAATTCTTTTATCAATCACTTATAGAAAATCGTCCAGTATTTGTTGATTATTTTCTACGGCGATATCATAATCCTCTTAAAATATTTATTTCTAAGTATACCGTTTCCTCACTTTATAAATATAATTATTAATTAATTTTGAATTTTCTAGGGAGAATAAAGGTTCGAACAATAAAAACAATGAATTAATTGTTTCATTAAGAAAACCATGTGAAAAATGTGGATCTGGCGAAAGTTTATGTTTGTTACATGCATTCGGTTTTATTAGTAAACTTTACCAGAAAACTGAATTCGTATTTGATGTAAAAAATTTGCTTTTATTTTCTAAAATAATTATTTCTTTTACATTTTATTTTTAGAATTGGCCAATTCCAAAAACAATTGAAGAACTTGATAAAAATTATCGAAAACTAATTGGACCATTTATAAAATCATTCTATTTCGATTATAATACAATTGATCGATTTTTGTTATATACTCGATTTAAAAAGAAATCTTATTCAGATGCTGATTATCTTAATAAACAAATAAATAAACAAGAAATGTTACGTGAAATATTTTTATGGAGTGTTTATTCAGGATATTCTGATATTGCCTTTGTTCTTCTTTCACAAATGCAATCACGAATAATGGCATCATTAATTGCAGTACGTATTGCACAAAGAATCTCATCAGATACTCATCAATTAGATTTACATCATAAATTTCATCAACAATCAAAAGATTATGAAGAATATGCAAATATGTGTATTAAGAGTTGTTTTGAATATGATGAACGATTAACATGTCAAATTCTTGTACGAGAAAATCCTTTATTTGGACATGTCAATTGTATGCAAGTAAGAAAATAATATTTAATTAACGAATTGTATTTTTTTTTAAATATAATATAGGTAGCTATTGCATGTCAAAGTATACCAATTGTTAATACACATGGTTTTATTGAAGTCGTTAATGAAGAATGGTTTGGACATGTTATTATAAATACAACTGATTCATTTGGAACTAAATTACTGTTTTTATTTAATTTGATAACATTTGGATTCATTTTATCATCATCATATTTCATTAAATATCGTCAAATGGATAATTATGATCAAATACTTGATGAAGATGTAAATTCTCTCTTTTTTTAAATTCATTGATTTTTTTCTTTTTTTCAGAGAATAAATTGTGTTAATCAACATAATTCTAGGTATTGTATTTATTTGATTATTTTATATAAATCGAAATATATTTTAGATGGAAAGGAATTGAAGATCAAAAAATAAAAAATCCATCGTATTGGAGAAAATTATATCATTTTCATTCAGCACCTATGGTTAAAATGGGTTATCATTTTGTTAGTTTTGGGCACGGCCAAGCGTGACGGAATTTCATTTTTTTAACTTGCGAGACCTATATCTCCTCAATAACAAGAGATATGTTTGTGAAATTTTTACCATATATGAAGGTTAACTAGGTCTACTAGCAGTAAAAATTTCACTGACTTATGACAAGCCATAACGGAGCTATATGCAAAACATTGTTCGTTACGGAATTTCAAAAATGGACAAAATTTTGAGGGTGGTCTCAGATTTTGACTTTTTTCTTCGAAACTAACCGGCTCATAAATAAACGTTCTATACATAAGTTGTTCAGTTTTTCACGAGCTATCGGAATATCACGTCATTTTCTTTGTGAGACATCCCCTTTAAATAAGACGACTTGAAATGCTGAGCGTTACGGAATTTCAGCTGTTACGGAATTTCGCCGTTTTTCTCTTGTTCTGCGAGGGACAATTTAGCGACATTTTTATAATAGTTTTAACTATGCAATCGAACTTTTTTCATTCCGTAACGATTAAGAGTATTGTTTTCTATAAATCGATTAGTTCATTTTCATGTTTGTCTCAAAATTTCATAGAAAACTTCATCCATCATTTTGACAAAAATGAAAATTTTCAAAATAAAAAAAAGTGAAATTTCGTGATTATTCGTGTTTTTAAACTCGTAGGAACGGAAAATGATATTTGTTTTATATGTCAGCTGAGTAATTCAGAATGTCGAACAAACTTAACAATATTTCAAGATCATACTTTCTGTTAAAAAATTTTTTTTCTATATATTACTGATTTTAACCTTCACCAGCGAAGGGGACCGTTAGCTGGCCGTGCCCTTTTCAAAAAATATTTTCAATTATTTCAAATTAAATTCTTTTCTTTTATTAGATAATTTATGTTTGGTTTTTATTGGTTTTTAGTTATATGATGTTATTTGATATAAAATATAATGAAGGTTCATTTCATTGGACAAAAATCTATTTAATTGTTACTGTTTCAACAATGCTTATTGAAGATTTTCGTCAAGTAAATATTCTTTTATAGGGTGTAGATGTGAATGTGGGTGGCCTTTCTTCAGCCCACATTCATACCCTCAAGAGAATTTATGCTAATAATCTTTTTTTCTTTTGAATTTTGATTTTGAAACTCTAATCTAAATAGATTATCGTTAATTATCATACACAAATGATGGAAACATGGAATTGGTCCGATGCATGGTTAGTACCTTCATTTGCAACACCATACATTTTATTTTATATTGGTATTATATGTTATTATCAATCAACGGATAATCTTGAATTATTTACAACTGCAAGGTATAAACAAAATTTATTTAATTTATCTTTAATTCCAATTTTGTATTGTATAGAATTATTTTAGCTATTGATCTGGAAGTTTGGTTTCTTTTTTCATTACGTTTTGTTAGTGCGATTAAATTATTAGGTCCAAAATTAATAATGATTAGAAATATGGTTTGTAGAATTTTTAAATTAGAAAAATCTTAATTGATTTGATTTAGTTAAAAGATTTAATAGCATTTATTTATATAATATTTGTTTGTATTGCTGCATATGGTGTTGTATCACGTGCATTAGTTATGTATAATTATATTGATTTTACGGCAAAAAGTGTTTTTACAGCTGTCTTTTATCAACCTTATTGGCTTTTATATTCTGTTGCTGATAATGAAACAGGATATCTTGATAGTAAATTCTATTTTTATACAATTTCAATTCAGTTTCTTTTTCTATAGATATTATTTCTAATGGCACAGCATCAGAAGTAGCAGAAGCAACTGTTAATCATATTCTCTTAACTTTTCATATGCTTTTTATTAATATTTTAATTCTTAATTTACTTATCGCTGTTTTTAAGTAAAGTTTTTTTGTTTAATATTTTAATGAATACTTTATTGAGTATAATTTAGTTTTTCAATTAATGATGTTCAAGAAAAAAATGAATTTTTTTGGCGTTTTCAACGATATGAATTAACACGTGAATATTTTGAAAAACCAATATTTGCTTATCCACCTCTTTCCATTATTGCTTATATTATATGGTTAATTCAAGTCATTTTCTGTAAAGGAACAACTTTTCGTGTATTTAGTAAGTTTAAATCAGATATTTCGTTAGATGACTATGTTATACATAGAACGTCTTTGCAATCAATCTGAAATGGATATTTATTGGAGTGAATTTGAAAGTGCTGCTACTGATAAATATGCACGTCAATTTATTGAAGAAAATTATCGACCAAAAGATGATATTACAATCTCAACGTAAAATTTATTTATTGATTGATTTTTCATCGTTTTTTTGTTCAATTATTTTAAGATTACAAACACAAATTAATATATTACAAGATGAAAATGAACAAATGAGAAACGAGACAAATGAAATTAAAAATCGAGTATATTGAAAAAAGAAATTTAGAAAAAAAGAAAAAATATTTTCCTTATTTAGACTACAATTGGTATGAAATGGATGATTTCAGCTATGAAACGTGTTAAAATGTCTCGTGTTGACCCACCACCAGAATTCAAAGATTGAATACTTAATCATTTAAATGACTTGATTTTATTTCTTTAAATATGCAAAATTTTTAATTTTTATCAAAAAAACTTTCGGAAATGTAATTATTATTATCAATAAAATTATGTTAAATCCATAGATCTCAAAGATGAGAATAATTTCGATGTGAATAAACTAGGGTATGGGTGTTGAATGAAACGAATACCTATACCCACACCCTATATCATGCTCTCACTCACACTCACATCTACGCCCTTTCTATATAAAGTTCAATTTACGGTAGAAATAGACTTATACGCACACAACAACATATTATGGATCTAACATTTAGAAACAGTATGTCTACGAGAAAGAGCTGAGTGAGTCAGCAGGCAAGTGTCACTCGTAAAACTTACGGTTGGAAAGTGAGATAAAGACACAGAGAATCTTTTTACGAAGCTCGAAAACAGTCGCTCACTTGGTTATTTCCCATCATTACGTTGCGGTTTCTCTGCATCATATCTCTACGTTATCATGAGTAGCTAAAATCTTCAACGTGGACGTTGACTGTTTGTGTAAATTGAGACGACAGAACAGAAAAAAAATTATCTGGTCGACTAGTTAAAAACCAACATACGCGACTGTTTCATGTATATATATAAGTGCGTAATTGAAGTAAATTCTTCAGTTTCAAACAGATCTGAAGAACAGTGATCGTTACTTGTCATTGAATTTCATTTAATTCTTTGACTATTCTTATTGGTAAGTATACTGAACGTTTTCAGAAGAAGAAGACCTTGAAGGTGTGAGCCAATGTTTTCTTTCCTTTTCCCACACTTACACCCTCAAGTTTTGATTATTATTAATTGAATATTGAATAACCTTATTTCATTTTGTTCATATCAAATATAATTATTGTATTTTAAGAGTGAGATTAATGAGTGAATCTAATTTATCATCAACAAAATTAACCGAAATACAAAATCATGATGATTATAAAGTTGTTTGGCTTGGTTCAAATAATAATATACCAAATGAAGAGAATATTGTTGATTATTTAGAGAAATTTGTTTCCGTCGAAGAGTGTTTTGATCACATAACAGACATTAAAAGTGAACGAAAAATTCTGCTTGTTTTAACCGAATTCTTTGAATGTTTGGTACATTTTGATGAACTTGATCAAATTCATTCAATTTATCTTCTGGAAAAAAATGGTGAAAATATAAATTTTAATCAAGCACAGTCTTCTAAAATGGTTAATATTTTTAGTGATAAACATACATTAATTGAACGATTACGTCAAGATATTGTACTCACATATAGAAATGATTTCTCAATAAATATTTCGTCTTTACGTGAAATAACCATTGAACAATCATTAACTAGTTTAGATGAAAATTCTTTAATGTTTGTATGGAATCAATTATTTATTTATTATCTTGTTAATTCTTCTCATATAGATATGGAGACATTAAAAAAAGAAATGATAGAACAATGTCTATTAGAATATAAAAATGATGAAGTTGAATTGGAAAAAATAAACGAATTTGTTAATAATTGTACATATGATAATGTTGTATACTGGTATACACGCGATTCGTTCGTTTATCGACTTCTGAATAAATCATTTCGTACCAGAAATATTGATTTAATTTGTAAATTTCGATATTTTATTGTACTTTTATATAAAAAATTAAAAGAACTATCAATACAACAAGAAGCCGAAATGAATCATACAATTGTCTATCGAGGACAATCTTTGAAGATAAATCAACTTGAAATTTTATTATCAAATATTGGAAATCTTATTTCAACAAATACAATGTTATCAACAACAAAGGACAGAAACGTAGCTCAGGTATTTTTAGGTAGTGATGAAGTTAACGTGCTATATGAAATAACGATTGAAAATACAAATGTTGATACTATTCATGTATTTGCTAATATTAATGAACAGAGCGCGTTTTCAGAAGAAGAAGTTTTATTCTTTGCTGGTACAGTTTTTCGCATTGAATCTATTGAACCAGATAATGAGTCAACATGGATTATTAAACTTACTTTAATTAATGAAACAGGTGAACAGTTAGAACAAATAATGAAACATGTTGAATATCAATTCACTCATACATCATATTGGCAAGAATTACATTCAAAAATAAATGATTTTAAACTCATTGGAAATTATTATAAGATATTAACGGATAAAGCACTTACATGGAAGGATGCATTAACAAAAAATATAAATGATATTGATATTTATTATCTCCTGAATAATGTTGGAAATTATGAAAGACTCATAGAATATTATAAGAAACTTTTATTAAAGCCAACATTTATTGATAAACCCAAATCTATTGTTCTTAATGTTATTATTGGATATAATTATTATCATCTTCTAGAATATGACATGGCTTTAGACTACTATAATACTGCACTTCTAGTATTAGATGATGATAATAGATTAAAAGGTCAAATATTTCATCATATTGGAGATGCCTATAAAATGAAGAATAATTTCAATCGAGCATTATTCTATTACAAACAAGCATTACATATTTTACGTAGTCAATATTCTAAAAAACGATGTCTTCCTATAATATGTAGGGAAATAGCTGATGTATATATAAAACAAAATAATAATACAGAATGTTTGCTTTACGAAGAACAAGCAGATGAATTCGATGAACCTTTTAGACAAAAATCACAGTTAGATTATGAAAACGTAATAAGAACTTGTAAAAACAGATTAAATACTGAACTTCATCTTTTACCTCTTGAACGTGCTGAAATATTATTTACAATGGGTCTAACTTTGATAAAACAAGGCAATTATCATCAAGCAATAGAAATTCTTTTACAAGCAAAACAATTATTTAAAGATCATTTACCACCACATGGTCAATTTGTTCGGACATTTTCGAAATTATTCGAAAGTATTCCAATAGCTTATTTACACTTGAAGGAATATTTCAATGCATTGATCATGTGGAAAAGAGCTATTGACGTACGCATAACTTTTCCGAATTAGTTTTTATTCATTCCGATTCTAAATAAATTATGTCTAAAACAAAATATTTGAATTAAGGTTGATGGTGGGTATAATGATATAAAGAAGAAGAATAGATGTGTACATCCACACACCCACACCCTTAAAAAAAACAACAAAAATAAGTCTATCTCTCATTTTAAAAGCACAACTTCTACTCTTTCTATAGTTTTAGCCAGAATGAAATATCGAAAAATGAAAATGTACTATTTATCACTTTTAAATAGAGATTGCACACTTTATGCGAATAGAATGAAGATTAATTACAAATAGTAGATATATGTGTGACGACGTCAAAAAAATAATTACGGAATAGGAGATTAACACTATTTTTCGATTTATATGTTACTCATATTAACGTTTTTTTTTACTGACATTCGTTATTAATTGCTTTCTATTTCTACTATAATATTATTATAACAAGGAAAATTGAAACTTCATTCGTTTTATGGTGCTGTGATTAGAATTCATTTGTTCGTACGAACATTCTTTTCAGTGTAAGTGATCATTCGACAGGAAAAAAAACAACAATCGTATTTTTTTAATACTGTAGGTGAATCGGTAATTATAGTTTTATTTCTCTATCGTATATAGGTAATGAGAAAAATAACATGTCGTCATCATCATCACAACAAAATATATTATAAATTTTACTATTTATAGAATAATAGGTAATTATCGTATTTCTTTCTTCTGTCTTTTAAAAATATTAATAACAAGAACGAAAAAAATGTTATTATCTTGTCAAATTTTCTCTATCTTTCTTCAATATTTATGTGATAAAAAAAGATTTATGACTAATCTTATTGCACGTAATTATTGTATTTCTTTTTTTTTCTTAACGTATTAGCTAATGAAATGAGAGACAAGTTTATACCTCTTCACATCACAAATAAATATTTTTTCTTTATCTCGTCATCATATCACATTACCACTTACATTACTAAAGATTTTCTTGATTTTTTTGGGAAATTTCTTAAATGCATCAACAACACTTCATCATCCTATTGGTTTTCATTACAGTTGCGTTTGTGTCAATTGTACAATGTGACACACCAAAAGGCGAAGAAAATAATCATCGTTCCCGTAGAGCAACAAATGTTTGTGATTCCACTGCATGCAATACTCCTCTGACAGGATTACAGAATTCGAATCGTTTCACTTCCTCCGACTATGTCAGAAATCTTCTCGACCCTACCTTTTGGGTAAATACTCCTGGTGGTAATGTTAGTTATTTTAATCTCAGCACAACACCCGCCTTAGCTGGTGTTGGTATTGCTTTTTCATTAGCTATGTTGGAACCCTGTGGTATCATTCTATCTCATATACATCCTCGTGGTTCCAAGGGTATCTAAAGTATCACTGGAAAATCACTTCTTGTCGGCTTCATCCAAGAAAACAAGGCACAACTTATTCTCAATACAATTGGTATTGGATATGCTACTGTTATTCCACAAGGTGCTATTCATTTCGTACAAAATTTAGATTGCGCTAACTCCACGCAACTCGATGCCTACAACAATGAAGATCCTGGTCTATTAACACTCGGCTTGAATATGTTTCGTTTTCCTGATGGTCCATTATCTGCTGGTTTTGGTGAAACTGATGATTATATTGATAACTTGAGACAAGCAATTCCCAATTATCCTTTGGATGTTAACATGGATTGCAGGAAAAAATGCGGATTATCGACGTAATACAATGACGATCATGACTATAGAGAGAAACAGTTTTTTTCATTGTTTTCTTTTTGTATAACAAGAAGTTGTAACTAAATTTTTATTTAATTCTTATGTGGGTGTGAGTGTAGATAAGATAAGAGACACCCACGCCCACCCCTCAAGATGTTCTATTACCATATCCAAAATACATACTGATACTATTTGTTCCATAACTAATAGAAGCAATATCTATTTTATTATCATGATTGAAATCTTCTAGAGCAATTGAACGAGATCGGGAATTATATCCAACTACACCTTCAACTGTTAATTTAAAAGTAGGCATACATGTGTAACCTAAAAATATATAGTTTCAAATAAAAATCAATAGGTATAATAATAGTTTACTTTGTTCTGGATAAGTTAAACATACAATAATAATTGCAATAGCCATTACTATACATGTGTATAAAGCGAATATTAAACAAGCTATTATAGGTTTTGTCAATTTTTTATCAGGATCTATTCTAGCAAAAATAAAAATATTGTCATTTTATTTTAATTATTAAAAAAACCAAATTCTACCGTATAATTGAAGCATCATTTATTGCTGATCCAATACTTTCATGAATAGAATTTATTTCTGGATCGAATAGATTTGAAATAGTAATAATTTCATCTGAATCAATTTGTTCACTATTTTCAAGTGTCGTTATCTCGATTACAGCAGCAGAGTCCATTGTTGTTATTTCACTTGACATTTTATTGAAATTCTAATTATCTAAAGTTATTAGATATAATATTATTTCAGGAATTATTTGAGTTAGAATATAAACAATGAATATTATATTAAATTTTTGATAATCTTTCATTTGATACAAATTGCATTACTTATATTCTCTCTCTCTCTCTGAAATCATAATAATATTTTGAACTCGATATAACTTACTATAAAATATATGATTCTTTTTTAAAATATTTTACGTAATAATTCTCGTTCGCAAATTATTGGTTGTAAGTTATCTTCGAAATAATATTTCTTCGTGCGTATACATTTACTTGACATATAATATTCTATGAGTAATCAAATTAAAATGTAATGAAACGAAAAAATAGTACGACAAAAGAAAAGCAAAAAAAGATAGTATTATTACTGCAGTTAATGTAGCATATCTTCTTTTTTTGATTTCATTTTATTTACATATATAAGATAGATACTATCGTCTTATACATTCTTATTTACGGTAATCACCTATTGGACATCACTACATAATTTCGTATTTTGTCAGGATTTAATACGTTCTATATATTCGATGTACAAATTCACTTTATAGATAAAGGATCATTCATTACTGTTCTTTTTTTTTGCATTTATACTAAAATCTATAATTCAATGGGGCTTGTTTTTTTCGTAATGATGTACTTTTGAAAGAAAAGTATAATAACCATCGATATGTATTATCGATCTATCACTTAATAGCTGTCAATTGCGATAAATGTAAGAGATATACAAAATCAACCAAGCTATAAATTCAAGGTCTATACATAATATTACTGTTTCTATTTAGTTAACGCCTTTTTCTTCTTGTTCTATGTCGAAGTGTATTTGTTTGATGATTTCTGATAAGATCGAAAACAAAAATCTAAAAATACTAAATAATACAAATATCAACGAAAAATTTTTCGAAACAATTGTAATTATAACTGTGTATAAACAAAATGATTGAGAGTCTATGTCAATTTCATCCTGATACATATCCTTAATGAGAAAATCTATCAATAATATAATAATAGTGGAGATAAAACAGTAGGAAATAAAAAAAAATAGTTATAAATCTTACACTATGTTGAAATGAATTAATTGATTTAAAATTTCTCCGTATTTTAACATTATTACTCCCATACGTGACTGATTAATCATATAAATTTTATTTTCTTATTGATATAAACTCTTTAAATGAAATGAATATATTGTATATTTTATTTCGAATTAAGAAATAATTTTTATGTAGTTAACATTATTATCATTTGATATTATCATTACTTGACATATTTTTTTCGATTCAACTAGAGATAACTACTTATTTGATAAGAACCAAACTAATTATTTTTAATGAATGTATTTTGTGACGGAAAACTATAAAAAAAAGTTAAAAGAAAGAATAAAGAAAATATTTTCAAGTGATCGGTAAATAGATAAATAATTGATACAAAAACAGGTAATACTCCTACTTGTGATACTCGAAATAAATTGTATTTTTATAATATTTTAAAGATAAATATGGAAGATCGATAGATATTGCAATTATAATAGAATAAAATTTACTCGTGCGTTCACATTATATACTATTTTTATTTATTATAAACGAAAAATTCAATCGAAAAAAAAACGAAGACTATTTTTTACATTTAAAAAATATTTACAAAGAATACAATCATATCAAAAGAATTATTTATTATTCATAGCATGCATAATTGTCCATTGTTTGGCTATTTCTTTATATTTTTCTTTATTTGTTCTGTAGAGTTGAAGAGCATCATTGTTAAGTCCATGATCAGGATTAGGATCATTGAGTAATGAAGATAATGATATAAGAAGAGTACGAACAGTTAATGCTGCAGACCATTGTGAATGAAGAATATCCAAACAAATAATACCTTTTGTACTAATATTTGGATGATAAATTGGTGTTACAAATTTAATACGTGGTGGTTTAAATGGAAAATCGGAAGGAAAATCAATTGACAAATGAAATTTTCCACCCGTATATGGAGTTTCTTCTGCTCCTTCAATCCATCCAATCCAATGAATCATATCTTTACTTGGATCTTTTGGTTCTGCATAACATAATGGTGGTGGATTTTTTTGAATTTCAACATAATGATGAGTTAAACGTCGGATAAGAGTCATGAAATTAATCGTAAGAGAAGAATTTTGACTAAATATCTTTATCTATATCTATATTAAACTGGGAAAAAACGAAGAAGTATAAGGAAGGAAAGCGAAAGAGCATCTGATTCGATTAAATTTTTTTGGGTATTATCATATCTCTATCGGACATTTTCATGTTATCAATATGACTCATCAATGTCGTAAAATATATCATAAAATTTTTTTTTATACAATGTAAATCAATTATAACATGATGAACAAATATAAAATATTTGAATTTTTTATTTAATTCTTATTTGTTAAATAATTTATATCAAATAAATTCTTTTGTGAATATTGTTCAACCAATAAAAAATATTTCAAATTATTAACAAAATATAAGAAATCTCTTTTTATCATTAGAGAAAAAAAATGTTCATCAGTTTTATTCAATTAATTCTAAAAAAGTTATTATATCTACATTGATTTTCGAGATTAACAGTTTATTATCTCTATTGAATTTTATAACGAAAACTACAAAACCATTCTTTGTCAGGTTTTGATGTAACTATAATCTAGATTTCTTTTTATTCCAACATCAAAGAAACATAAAAAGATACTATTGGGAAACTATCAAAGTCTGCCAACATGTTTAATTTATTATTCAAAAATATTTCTTTAGACAAGTCAAATTTTGTTAATAAAATTTTAAATATTCTCATAGTATATATAATCTATTTTAATTGTTCATATGTTTTAGTGTACTAACAAATGATATTTATCTTATAAAATTTCCATGAATTTTTCTAATTTTAAATATATCAATCGAATATTATGATCAGTATAAAATCCAGTAAAAATTTGTTGAAAAATAATAAAAAAATATGTTTTATTGATGGATTAGAATAGAAACTAATGACAAGTGTACTTTTACCGGCTGATTTAATGATAATATCTATGAAAGATAAAGTTATTCTGTAAATTTTTTAGTTAATAATCTATAAAAGCACGTCTATTTTGTCATGAATAAAGGAAAAGAAAATATTTGATTCTTTCTAGAGACTGTAATCAATCCTTTGAGATAAATAATTGTCCTTAAAATAAAACCTGACTTTTAAAAAGATTTTTCTTTTTCAAGACATGATAACATAGTCAATGTCAGGAATTTGTATCAAATAACCTTCAATGAAATGAATTAGTTTTATTAAGAAATAAATAATATTATCACAACCCACTAAAACAAAGTGTAGGAAATACGTAATAATAATTGTTTTATGTGACTTATATTCAAATCTAATGTTGTCAACTGTCTAGCGACTATCAAACAATCATTTAAGCAAAGAGAAAACAAGAAGTTTTTTATGTGTTCTTAGAAAAATGGTAACATCAAAATTAATTAGATGGAAAAATTAATTCATTATTATCTTTATGGATTATATATTAACAAATATTTTTCAATAATATTATAAATCTATTTAATTCTAGTAAGTTCAAAAAAAGACCATTAAAATATATTAAGTGATGCAAAAGTCTTTGAACAAATCTGAGAAGGAAGATAAGCTAAAAATCAAACGACTTTAAAAATGTTTTTGAGATAATTTTTTGCTGAGCCATTAGAAAATAATGTATTTTGATAAAATAATGCGGAGAAAAGATTCACTTTTTTATAATGTCCGGCCATAATAGTTGATGATGACCTTTGAAACTGATAATCTTTTGGCAACGGCTCTTTCTATGGATATCTCAATTTCCAAACTGTTTTGTTGAAAGAACAAAGAACTATTTTATCAAAGCTGTTACCCGTAGAGTTTTTCATGGGATGTTTTTGTTACAATTTGATCTCATATAACTTAAAATCTTGAGAAATGCAAATCTATCGAGTTGCTCTCTCGCTTTTCTTCCTTCTTAGATTTGTTCTTGAAAAATAATTCTGGTAGAAAATTTATTATTCGGATTCTGCTTTTTCGAACAAAATAAAAATTTCATTAGAGTAAGAGGCCAATATTACGATTTAACAGAGTCTGGCACTTGTCCAAGGTCGTTTGCATCACTTAATATTCAAATACAAAGAAGTTTCTATGATATTTTTCTAGTCGAACAATACTTATCAAATCCAGTAACCTTAGTATTTGTATTGCGAAGATCTTGTGATGGAAATGAGTAAGATTATTTTATGGAAAATTCTTTTAGAAAATAAAATTCCATTGATTTTTCTTAGTGTCAATGAACTTCAACTTGTTGATCATAGTAGTTTTTTTCATTACTTTTGTAATAAAAATTGAATCAACTCAACAACATAAAGTGTATCTTCATAATCGTATGTAAAATATTGTCTCTATTTTATATTGAAATAAGAGTATTATTACTTTTTAGTGATGAATGAAATTGAAAATAGTGATCGTTCTACACGTAGTTTTGGTTGTAATGGGCCGGAACATCGAAATGAACATCGATGTCGACATCATTGTAGAAGTCATGGATATAAAACGGGTTCTTGTAGTCCATATACCAATTATCAAGATTGTGTTTGTAACAGATCACCACATTCAAAATCGAAATTTCGACAAGTTTCTTCTACATCTTGAAATAATTTATCTCGTTTAGAGTTTTCTTTTTCCATCTATATATACATTTAATAAATTATTCAAAATTTCCCATTCGAAACAATTTACTTTATCAATTTCAACAATTAAAGATTATTCTATTTTTATTATATTTAAAAATATTTGATTTAACAAAAAAATAAACATATTAATAAATATCTGTGATATTTCAAAAGTTTTTAAATTAAAATATCTTATCAAAGAAAAAACAAATAATTTAAAAAACAAATTTACAATCTTTTAACTTGTTACACTCATTGTTCTACATGCATTTTTCTTATTAACTCTTATAAATGATTTAATATTTTTTACTAACAGTTTTAGTTTATTATTAAGTTAGTAGAACTAATATAATTGATAATGAAGATAACTATTCTTATCTTAATATTAAGTGTTGAAGGGTGAGTATCTTCTGTTTTTTTTCAATTTACATCCACACTCAAGATTTTTAGTTTTTTAAATAGTCAAGACGTACACAATATTCTAAGAAAACTACATCTTTTTTTAAAAAAAAATATTTTTCAATAAAATATTAATCAATTCAACGTATAGATGTCAAAATTCAATATCCACATCCACTCCTTAGAGTCATGTAAAGATAGTCTTCACTGCGCACAGTTAAAAACATCTCGTTTAAGTCAAACTTATTTTTACTCGTAAGGAAGAACGAAATTAACTTGAAGAAAAAAAATAATAAGTGAACTAAAAATAAACTTCTCTTTGTTCTATACAACGAAATATCCTATTACACTTCACTGCTCACGATGTAGTATAAATCGTATACGATAAGAGTAGTTTTCATTCATTGATACGTACAATCTTACTATTACTTCAGATCATTCAACATGAGAAAAATGTATGTCTGCTGCTTGGCGATATTGATATTAGGCCTTGTTGCCATTACAGACGGACGATCATTGAATAATACAAACATCTTCAGAAGAGAGCCGTAGCTCCTCCTAGTAAGTCATAGATTTATCATGTGAGATATTTTGTCTCATCTAGTCGATCGAAGATAGAATGATCATTGAGATAATCATGTCTACAGTTAGTTGTGCATTGAATAGATTCATTGAATTTTTTATACATGAATTATCATTCACAAAATAATCTTCGTTTGTTCTGAGGAAAGCTTTGTCGAAAGAATTATGCGTGTATATGGAAAGAAATACATGTTTTTTGATATTTGTTTTAGAAACTGGGCGCAAAATCCATGGTACAGTGAAATGGTTCAATACCGCGAAAGGCTATGGTTTCATCCTTCCTGATGGCCGTGATGACGATATATTTGCTCATTACTCTGCAATCAACATGGATGGATACAAAAACATGAATCCGGGTCAAATAGTTGAGGTAGCAATAATTCAGGTCCAAAAGGTCTAGAGGGAGTAACTGTCCCGCCATCGTAGTCATTACTGAATAGGACGTCAATTAATCACGCAGACTTACCATTCTTTTTTTTCCAGTTTTTTCACTTTTTTGTTTTGTTAATTTTTCTTCAATAGATATTCATGCAAAGAATTTTAAACATCTCCTCTTTCAGTTAAACGTAAATATACATATACACAAGTAGTGACTTGCATTTATTTTCTTGTCATTGTACGGACTATTTGAAAATTTATGTACATAGAAAAAGTTGAATATTGTTATCAGTAAATACTGGCAGAAATATATTACTTTGAATGTATCTTCTGATTATATATTTGGATTGAGGCTTTTCTTCTTTATCTGCACTCTTTCAAATTGACTTACTATCTATTAGGTAATCTTTTTTGATTTTCATGTTTTAAAATACGGATTTGACCATTTGGTATGAAATGACGAAATAATAAAAAACGAAAATTATTATGTGATAAAAGAAGCTTTTCTACAATGTATTATTATTTTAAAATATTACTGAAACAAAAATTCGACTAAATATTCATTCATACCAATACTTCAATGATTTAATTGTTGCGTGTGTTATTATGGCTATTGATGTTTCGAAATATGGATTGTGCATATTGATTCTTCATGCATATAATTTGATATTGGTTGTTGTTATTGTACTTGTATTTGTATCGATAATGATGCCCTTTAGAACAATCACAGCAAGATCGAAAAGTTCATAGAGATATTAAGATTAAGTATTTTATCATTATTTTCATTCATAAGTTTCACTTTTCATTGAATAAAAAAAATCAGATCAAATTTATCTGCTTTTATTGTTACGATATTTTAATACACTAAGTACTCTCTTCAGTCATCATTACAGAATTTAACATAGTGTTCGAAAGCAATTAGAGAAACACAAAGTAACATGTAATTAGTTAGAATCATGTGAAGATACCCTTCACTGCGCACAGATAAAAATATAACGTCAAGGTGGAACATGTTTTTTCTCGTAAGAAAGCACCAAAGTTGTTTGAAGAAAACGACGATAAGTATGGAAAGAAAAATTATTCTATTTTCTGTATACTAAAATATTCTGTTATGCTTCACTAAACCCCATGTAATACAAATCTTATAAGAGGGGTGATTTTTTTCCATCGATACATACATTATTACTATTAATTTATATCATTATTAAACATGATAAAAATATACACCTGTTGTGTGATGGTCTTGATGGTAGGTCTTGTTGCTGTTACAGAGGGACGATCGTTGAACAACAACGATGAATCTTATTTCAATTCACCAATGCGACGCCTCCATGCTGATGTCGATCACCTGGCACAAAACAATCTTAATGCACGACACTTTAATAATGAACAAAACAGCGATGATGAAGATGACACTCTGATGAAACGATTCAAATATCTTCTAAAAAAACGCATGGACCTTAGTAAGTATCATCAATTTGTTATGTGAGTTCTTTTCTCTCATCTGGTGGATCAAAGAAAGGATAATCATTCAAATAATCATGTTCGTAGTTAGTTAGTACATTGAATAGATTCATTGAAATTTTTATACATGTATTATAGTTTACAACAAAATCTTAGTTTGTTGTGAGGAGGGTTTCGTCAAAAGGACTATGTGTATGTACATGAAGAAAAATATGTGTTTTGATATTTGTTTTAGGTGTTAGAAGTAATATGATGAAAGGCACAGTGAAATGGTTCGATGAAAAGAAAGGCTTTGGTTTTATTACTCCTGAAGATGGTAGTAAAGATGTTTTTGTTCATTTTAAAGCAATTCAAGACAATGGATTCAAAACCTTGGCAGAAGGTCAGAAGGTTCAGTTCCGTACAGAACAGGGTTCGAAAGGTCCATCTGCAACGGATGTCACGTCAATATAGTTATTACTAGATATGACGTCGATTGATCACATAGACTTATCATTCTCTTTTTTTTGAAATTTTTCACTTTTTTGTTCGGTTGATTTTCTTTTAATGAATATTTATGCAAAGAATCTTACACAACTCTTCTGTTAACTAAACATAAATACACACTTACCAGCAGTGACATGCGTCTATTTTCTTGTCATTGTACGGACTATTTGAAAATTCATGTACATAGAACAAGTTGAAGATTATTCTCAGAAAATACTGATAGAAATATTTAGTTTAAATGTATTTTTTGATTACCTATTTGGATTGAGGCTTGTCTTCTCCATCAGCACTCCTCAAACGTGTATTATTATATATTAGGTCGATCTTTACTTTTTCGTCTTCTAAACAAATTTGACCATTTAGTATGTAGTGATGAAAGAATAAAAAAAGAAAATTATTATGTGATTTAAGATGCTTTTCTACAATGTATTATTATTTTAACATATTACTAAAACAAAAATTCAGTTTAATATTTATATGTATATGTATCAAGCTTTGAGTGGCATCTATCGTTAAAAACATAATCCATATCATCATAGTGATAACAAAGCACTGACAACAACAAGATGCTTTAATCTCTAGTATTTGTCATCGATTTGTCCTGTGAGATATTTTCTCTCATCCACTAGATAGAAGAAAGGATGATCATTCAAATAATCATATCTACAGTTAGTTATGCATTAAATAAATTCATTGAATTTTTTATACACGTATTATAGTTCACAAGATAATCTTAATTTTTTTTTTGTTTTTTTTATATTTGGTTTTATTTTATCTTTATAACTAGATTGACAATTAAGGAAAAATGAATGAGGTCACATTTTAAATGTTGAACAGGCTGGAATAAAATAGAATATCACGAGTGAATAGAACGATAGAATAGTAAAGAAATATAACTTCATCGACAGTGACATCTTTATTTAAATAGAGGAACAAAAAGGACCAGGACAGACAATTTGACAATATAGTGGTCCATAGAAGAAGGAGCGAAAGAAGTAGATAAAGGAAAGAGAGAAAACGATTTTCAGACTTAATTTCGTATTACATTACATTCATTTCTTTTACATTTGTATTTTATCACTCTTACTAACACACATATTTTCTAGATCAACATTTCTACAGAAGGTATTTATATATAAAAACGACACAGTAAAAAGGAGAAATGTATAAAGTACTCATATTGCTGATAGTAAACAATCTTAGTTTATTCTGAGGAGGACTTCATCGAAAGGATTATGTGTGTGTGTGTATGTAAACAAATATATATCTTTTGATATTTATTTTAGGTATTCTAACTACAATGAAAGGCACAGTCAAATGGTTCAATGAAACAAAAGGCTTCGGTTTTATTACTTCCGAAGGTGACAGCAAAGATGTTTTTGTTCATTTTTCTGCAATTCAAGACAAGGAATACAAAACCCTGGCTGAAGGTCAAAGAGTTGAATTCGAAATACAAAATGGTCAAAAGGGTCCAACTGCAGTAAATGTTGTAGCTTTATAGTTATTACTGGATATGACGTCGACTGATCACATGGAATTACCATTCTTTTTTTCCATTTATTTCATTTTTTTGTTCAGTTGATTTTGTCTTAATAAATATTCTTGCAAAGACTCATTCACATTTTCTCTTTTATTTAAAGATAAATAAATACACACAAGAAGTGACTTGAATTTATTTTTTTATTGTCGGATGGTCTTTTTGAAAATTCATGTACATAGTAAAAATTGAAGGTCATTTTCAATAAATACTAACAGAAATATTTAGTTTGAATATATTTTATGATTATCTATATGGATGGAGGTTAGTCTTCTCTGTCTGTATTCTTCCAATTTATATTACTATATATTAGCTGACCTTTTTTGATTTTTACTTTTTCGTCTTCTATACAGATTTCACCATTTAGTTTGTAATGATGAAAGAATAAAAAAAAGAAAATTATTATGCGATATAAGATGCTTTTCTACAATGTATTAATACTTTAAAAAATATTAATGAAACAAAAATTAAATTCAATATTTATATATATGTATATGTATCAAACTTTGAATGGCATTTATCATTAAAAAACATAACTCACATCATCATATTAATAACAAAGCAGAAACAACAAGATACGCTTCATCTTATTGATTTATTCACGTGAAAGTGAAATGATTATTCAAAAAAATTCGTATTCAATTATTGATATTTCTGTTAACGTTGTAAAGACAATCATCGTCGATTAACATTCAATTGCATCGATGAAGAATCGTATATACTTAGCATTCTGATACTTCCCTTTTCAAACAAGATACATATTCTATTGTTTTACTTATTGGTATTTCGATGATTTAATTTATGCTTCGGAACATGGATTATTACATATTGATTCTTCATGGATAGAATTTGATATTGGTTTGTGATATTGTATTTATATTTGTACCGATAATGGTTGTTTTTAAAACATCTACAGCAACATCGAAAAGTCGAAATAGATGTTAAGATTGAATATTTTATAATTATTTTCATTGATGACTTTCGCTTTTGGCAGAACAAATTAACCAGATACGATTTATCTTATTTGTACTGCTTTTATTGTTATGACACTGTATTAAAATGAGTACTTTCTTCAGTTATTGTTACATAATTTAAAATCATGTTCGAAAAAAGTTAGAGTCATGGACAGATGCCCTTCGCTGCGCGCATATAAAATATTACGTCAAGGTGAAACTTATTTTTACTCATCAGAATCGATGAAAATTGGTTGAAAAAGACGATAATTCAGGCAAAAAGAAACTTTTTTTTGTTTTGTATACCAAAATATTCCGTTACGCTTCACTACTCACCATGTAATGCAAATCTTATAAGAGAAGAGTAACTTTCATTTACCGATACATAGATTATTACTATTACTTCACATCATCATTAAACATGGGAAAATTATACGTCTGTTGTATAACGATATTGATGGTAGGTCTTGTTGCTGTTATAGAAGGACGATGGTTGAACTATAACGATGAATCTTATTTCAATTCACCAATGCGACGCTTCTATGGTGATACCGATCAATTGGCACAAAACAATCTCAATGTACGAGACTTCAATAACGAACAAGATAGTAATGGGGATGATGATGACACTCTCATCAAACGATTGGAATATCTTCTAAAGAAACATTTAGATCTTAGTAAGTATGATCGCTTCATCATGTGAGGTATTTTCTCTCATCTAGTGGATCAAAGAAAGGATGATTATTTAAATAATTATGTCCATAGTTAGTCTTGCATTGAATAGATTCATTGAATTTTTTTATAGATGTATTATCGTTCACAAGAGATTTTTACTTTATTCTAAACAGAAGTTTCGTCGAGAGAACTGTGTGTGTATTTGAAGAAAAATATATCTTTTGATATTTATTTTAGGTGTTACAAGGAGATCGACAGGCACTGTCAAATGGTTCAATGCAGAAAAAGGCTTTGGTTATATTACTCCTGATGACGGTAGTCAAGATGTTTTTGCTCATTTCTCAGCAATCGCGAGCAGTGGATACAGAAGCTTGGAAGAAGGTCAGAAGGTTGAGTTCGAAACGACCCAAGGTCCGAAGGGTCTAGAGGCAGAAAATATCCGACCACTATAGTTATTATCGGATATGGTGTTGATTAATCACGTTGACTTACTATTCTTTTTTTTCACTTTTTTGTTCGGTTGATTTTCTCTTAATAAATATTCATGCAAAGAATCTCACACATTCCCTCTTTTGATTAAACATAAATACACAAACACAAGCAGTGATTTGAATTTATTTTCTTATCCTTGGATGGACTATTTGAAAGTTTATGTACATAGAAAAAGTCGATTATTATTAGTAAATAGTGACAGAAATATTTAGTTTGAATGTGTCTTATCCTTACGTAGTTGGGTTGAGGCTAGTCGTCTCCATCTACACTCTTCCAATTCGTGTTACTATATATTACAGGTGATCTTTTTCGATTTTCACTTTTTTCGTGTTCTATACAAATGTGATCATTTATAGTATGTAATGATAAAATAAGAAAATTATTATTTGATAAAAGATGCTTTTTTACAATGTATTAGCACTTTAAAATATGATTAAAACAAAAATTAATTTCAATATTTATACATATCAATATTTCGATGATTTAATTGATGTGTACGTTATTATGGTTATTGATGTTTCGAAACATGGATTGGTCTTTAAAACATACACAGCAACATTGAAAAGTAGATATAGTTCTTAAGTTTAAGCATTTTATCATTATTTTCATGGATAAATTTTACTTTTCACTGAACAAATCTATCAGATAAAATTTATTTTCTTTTTACTGGTTTTATTGTTGTGAAACTCTATTAAACTGAGTACTTTCTGCAGCTATTGTTACATAATTTAACATTGTGTTCGAAAACAAATAGGGTCATGTGAAGATATCCTTCACTGCGCATAGATAAAAATATCACGTCAAGGTGAAACCTGTTTTTACTCGTAAGAAATTACGAAAATTATTTGAAGAAAAGGAGAATAATTGAGACAAAAAACGTTTTCTTTGTTTTATATACCAAAATATCCCGTTATACTTCACTACTCACCATGTAATGCAAATCTTATAAGAGAAGAGTAGTTTTCATTTATCGATACATAGATTATTACTATTACTTCACATCATCATTAAACATGATAAAAATATACGTTTATTGTATGACGGTATTGGTGGTAGGTCTTGTTACTGTTATAGAAGGACGATGGTTGAACAATAAAGATGAATCTTATTTCGATTCACAAATGCGACGCTTCTATGGTGATACCGATCAATTAGCACAAAACAATCTCAATGTACGACACTTTGATAATGAACAAGATAGTGATGAGGATGATGCCACTCTCATCAAACGATTGGAATATCTTTTAAAGAAATCTTTGGACCTTAGTAAGTATCATCGAATTGTGATGTGAGATTTTTTCTCTCATCTAGTCGATCGAACAAAGATTGATCATTCAAATAATCATATCCACAGTTAGTTGTGTATTGAATAGATCGATTGAATTTTTTTATACATGTATTATCGTTCACAATAGAACCGTAGTTTATTCGAAGGAGAGGTTTCGTCGAAAGGACTATAATGTGTATGTGAAGAAAAATATGTCTTTTGTTATTTGTTTTAGGTGTTTCAAAGAGAGCGATAGGCACGGTCAAGTGGTTCAATGAAGAGAAAGGCTATGGTTTTATTGAACAAGATGGCGGTGGTCCAGATGTTTTTGTTCATTATAAAGATATCAAGAGTGATGGATTCACAATCTTGAAAGAAGGTCAGCGGGTTCAGTTCGACCTAACTCACGGTTCAAAAGGTCCACAGGCAGAGAATGTTATGCCAGCGTAGACATTGCTGGATTGGACGTCAATTGATCACTTAGACTTAATATTCTTCTTTTTTCACTTTTTTGTTCGTTTGATTTTGTCTTAATAAATATTCACGCAAAGAATCTCACACATTTCCATTTTTAGTTAAACATAGATATAGACACACAGGTAGTGACTTGGATTTATTTTTCTTATCGTCGGATAGACTATTTGAAAATTTATGTACATAAAAAGAGTTGAAGATTATTATCAGTAGATACTGTGAGAAGTATTTAGTTTGAATATATTTTGCGATTACCCATTTAATTTGAGGCTTGCCTTTTCCATGTGCACTCTTTCAAACTGCGGTAGTCTATATTTTAAGTCGCCTTTTTTGATTTTCTCTTTTTTCGTCTTCGATATAAATTTGATTATTTATAGTGTGTAATGATAAAAGAATAAAAAAAGAGAACTATTATGTGGTAAAAGACGCTTTTGTACAATGTATTAGCACTTTAAAATATGATTAAAACAAAAATTAAATTCAATATTTATACATATCAATATTTTGATGATTTAATTGATGTGTGAGTTATTATGGTTATTGATGTTTCGAAACATGGATATTTATTTTCATCGATGAGTTTTACTTTTAACTAAACAAATCTATCAAATAAAATTTATCTTGTTTCTATATACTGCTTTTATTATTATGGAGCTCTATTAAACTGAGTACTTTCTTCAGTTATTGTCACATTATTTAAAACTGTGTTCGAAAACAGTTAGAGTCATGTAAAGATATCCTTCACTGCGCATAGATAAAAATATCACGTCAAGGTGAAACCTGTTTTTACTCGTAAGAAATTACGAAAATTGTTTGAAGACAACAAGAATAATTGAGACAAAAAGATATTTTTCTTTGTTATGTAAACCGAAATACTCCGTTATACTTCACTACTCACCATGTAATTCAAATCTTATAAGAGAAGAGTAATTTTCATTATTCGATACATACATTATTACTATTACTTCACATCATCATTAAACATGATAAAAACATACCTCTGTTGTATAGCGGTATTGATGGTAGGTCTTGTTACTATTGCAGATGGACGTAGGCTGAACGATAACGATGAATCTTATTTCGATTCACAAATGCGACGCTTCTATGCTGATACAGATGAACTAACAGAAAACAATCTGAATGTACGACACTTTGATAATGAACAAGACAGTGATGAAGATGATGATACATTTGTCAAACGATTGGAATATCTTTTAAAGAAATCTTTGGACCTTAGTAAGTACCATTTGATTTGTCATATAAGATATTTTCTCTCATGTAGTGGATCGAACAATGGTTGATCACCCAGACGATCATGTCTGCAGTTAGTTGTGAATTGACCAGATCTGTTGAATTCTTTAGAAAATCTAATATAGTTCATAAGAGAATCTTAGTTTGTTTTAAGGGGTGTTTTGTCGAAAAAATCATGTGTGCTTACGTAAAGAAAAACATGTGTTTCGATATTTGTTTTAGGTGTTAGAGATCGACGGACAGGCACGCTCAAATGGTTTAATGTAGAGAAGGGCTTTGCTTTCATCACTCCTGATGACGGTGCTCAAGATCTTTTCGCCGATTTCTCTGCAATTGGCAGCAGTGGATATAGAAGCTTCGAAGAAGGTCAAAAGGTTGCATTCGACGTAACTCAAGGTCCGAGGGGTCAACAGGCGTACAATATCGTGCCAATATAGTTATTACTAAATTGAATGTCAATTGATCACGTAGACTTACTATTTCCTTTTTTTCCATGTGTTTCACTTTTTTGGTTCAGTTTCATTTTGTCTTAATAAATATTCATGCAAAGAACTTGATACATCTTCTCTTTTCGTTAAATATAAATACATACGTATAAGCAATGGTTTGCATTAATTTTCTTGTCATCGGATGAACTATCAGGAAATTCATGTACATAAAAAGAACTGAAGATTATTTTCAATAAATACTGGCAGAAATATTTAGTTTGAATGTGTTTATAATTATCCATTTGGATTGAGGCTAATCTTCTTAATTTGTACTTCTCAAAATTGTGTTACTATATATTGTAGGTAACCTTTTTCACTTTTCACTTTTTTCGTCTTCTATACAAATTCGACTATTTAGTAGGTAATGATGAAATAAAAAGAAAAAGAAAAATATTATGCGATATAAGATGCTTTTGTACAATGTATTATTATTTTAAAATATTATTGAAAAAAAAATTCAATTTAATATTTATACATATATATATATGTATCAAGCTTTGAGTGGCATCTATCATAAAAAAAAGAAGTTATGAGAGAAGAAAGTATAATATGTATACATGTATATATTGGTTTTTCTTCCTCCCGTTGCATATTTAGTGATGAATCATCAGTTTGTAAGATTAGATGACGTCTTTTATATATAAATACTGATGTGAAATATTTCTTTGTCATATGTAATTTCGTGACTTGTGTATATTTAATATGTCAAATTCAAGTTTAAAACGTAAACTAAATTCATCAAATGAAGTTAATTCATTATTAAATCGTTCTGAAATCTTAAATAATAAATTATCTCATCGTCCTGAACGTCATCAATTAGTTGAACAAAGAATCTTACTTGATTCACATTGTGCACCAAGTCTTCAAAATGCTGAATATGCTCTTAAACGTGCACGTTTAGCAGATGAATTAAATAATCGTCTTTTAAATCGTCCAGGTCCTTTAGATTTAATTCAACATAATATTCTTCATATTGATACAAATGAACATCCTGATTTAGAAGAAGCTATTCAAGGTTATTTAATAAAAATCGAAAATCGAAAAATAAAAATTTGATTTGATTTTCTTTAGGTGGTCAAATTCCATTTAAAGCAACATCGTCGTATCATCGTCCACTTATATTTCATGAATATACAGGTTCACCATCATTATGTAAACCAAAAGTTACAAAAGTTGATTCACTTTCATCAACATCGAATACTCATCATATACGATTAGCACAACAACAACTTTTACTTGAATTAACATCAAATAAACAAAATGAACAAGAAATTTTGTTACCTAAAAAATCTCTTGAACAAATGACATTAGTTGAACTTAAAGAATTATGTAAAAAATATCAAATTCCATCATCACATACAAATAAAACAAAATTAATTGAAAGAATTAAACAAGTACAAAACAAAATTAATAAACAAGGTAATTACATTTTCTTCAAAAACAAAAACAAGTTTTCATCTAAGAGAATATTTATTAAACGAATTTTTTTTTATTTTGTTAAAAATAAGAATTAAAAGTATGAAAAAGTAAAGTAGATATATGAATTGAGTATTGACATCGGTCCTATGGTCTAGCGGTTAGGACATTGGACTCTGAATCCAGGAGCCCCAGTTCAAATCTGGGTAGGACCTTTTTTTTCTTCTTTTCTCTCCACAGCAAAAAAAACGAGAAACATTTCTGTTCTTTTTTCTCGTTCTGTTTCTATGTATTTTTTGCTTTTTTTTAAATTTAGAAGTGTTAACATTAGAAAATAATTCCAATGAATTTTCAAATACTGATCTAAATCCCTCATTGCAAATCTCCAATATAAATGATGAAGAAATCGAATTATTTTCCACATCTGAATTAGATGAAATTCTTAAATCATTTCCTATGAATTTTATAAATCGAGGAGAAGAAGATCAAAATAATATTGATATACAAAACTTATTAATTGATCCTCAAATAATCAATAATGATGATTTATTTGTTGAAATGTTACTTAATAATGATTATTCATCAACATCAACTTCAGATGATTTATTTTTTTCGGATATTTTACCAATAAATTCTTCACCATTACCACGAATAACAAGTATTGATGAATTCGATGCATTTTTACGTGATTTTACTTATAATTCTTCATCAAAACAACAACAACAACAACAACAAGAAGTTTTACCACCAATCAGTTAATTATTTCTATAAATTGTATAGTAAAACAAAAAATAAAATTTATTTTTCGATAAAATACTTTTTTTGTATTGTTTTTTTAAACAAAACAATTAAATAACTTTAATTATTTTTCTTCTCTTTATTGTATAAATAGAATTTTTCTATTAATAAATTTTATTTTCATTAGTTTCACAATTATTTCTTTTTTCTTATTTAAGATTCATAAATTCTTCTAGGAATTTTTATAAACAATTTCCATCAAATCTTAAATTAATTTTCGAGTATTAACTTAAAATGATTCTTGAGGATAATTTCTATTTTTATTTCGAAAATCTCTTATATGATTAATTAGAAAATGAGTTTTTTGAAGAATATTCTAGAAAAGTCTATATGATTTCGACTAACATTTTCCAAGGTCAAGTTTTTCGATAAATTGCAGCTTTATAACTGTGCGCTTTTTTTTCTTCAACATCACCAGTCGACTTAGCACAGTCCCGAGTTTTTCGCGACAACTTAGAGCACATTTAGCTTGACCATTTTCCAAGTACTTGAAAATCATGAGCGACAGTTTTTTGCTGGAAAATAAATTAGATGAGTAACTTGATATTTTCATAGGAGTTGATTTATTTAAATAATTCTTGTTGTTTTATTTAGATGTGATATAGTCAAAAAATATGTCGACTCGTTTAGAAGATTTACCCAATGAATTATTTGTTCATCTATTTAGTAATTATTTTCATGGTGTAGAATTATATAAACTATTTTCTGGATTAAATATTCGTTTTAATAATCTATTAAAATTATTAAATAATATTTATATTCGTCTTGAAAATTCCAATGATGATAAATGTCTTAATTTCTTTTCTCAAAAAATTCATAGTTTATATATTGATTCTCAACATAAAAGTATTCATTTTCTTCCATTACTTATTAATATTCGATCGATAACATTAGTTGATCCAACAATAATTCAAATAATAAATTTATTAGAAATAAGTTCAAATGTTGAACGTATTTGTATTCAATGGTCAAATCCTTATTTAATTAATTTAATAAGTGCACGATCATTTTATGAATTAATTTTTAGTGCAAGTTCATTGGAAAATCTTCGTTCATGTCGATTATATTTACCTGAAAATCATTCATTCTATTTCGAACCCAAACATTGTACATTACCATTATTACATACAATTTATGTTCAGATAACAATTCCATTAGCTGATTTTCGTCGTATAATACGTTTATGTCCGAATTTAATTCGACTTGAAATTGAAATCATTGATAATGGACATTCAAATAATGAAACAATTATTCTTTTAAATCATTGTGAACATCGAAATATTCGACAATTTCATGTTTATAATTTATTATCACTTGATATATTAGAGATTTATATTGATTATTTCTCTAAATTAACCAAATTATATATCTCAATGAAATTAACTTCATATCCATTAGATGTTTTTAAACAAATATCAAATTTAATTCATCGAATTTATCATTTAAAACAATTTCATTTTCGTTTTTCAACTCATTGTTGGAATATTGGTTATCAACAATTACAAATTCTTAAACAATTAAATCCTTTTTTTGAAAATATTCATATTGAAAATAAAAATAATGAAATTGTTTTTATTAATTAAATAAAAAGAAATTTTTGTGATTTATCTTAATGGTTAGTTCTATTAATTCTAGATTATTTTCTTCTAAATGCCTTCACGTGCAAAAAAAATTCTTTCACCAATACCTGTCATTCCAAATGGTGAACAAAATGTTGCTGATGTTATTAAACAAGTAAAATTATTTTCAAAGACTTGATAAAAATAATTATTTGATTTTTTAGAGTCAATCGATATTTTCTTCATCAAATCAAGATGATATTCGATCATTATGTGAACAATTAATTAATCTTTTAATTATTTCATCATCAACTGATCCACCAAATACATCATTAAGAAAATGTGTTGTTAAGTAAGATTTGATTTAACAACAAAAAAAAAAAAGATTTATTCATTTTTTTGTATTTTTTAGAGGTTTTTCTAATTTACCCGAAAATCAATATGATAATGTTCTTGATCAATGTACGAAACATTTACAAGAATTTTTCAATCAACAAGGAAAAGAACGTCGAACTGATTATGTTTCTATGTTAAATTATCTTGTTGAAAATTTTCCATTTGGTAATTTTTGTTTGAATTAAAATTCAATTTTAAGAATTATTTTTCTATTTTTTAGGTTTAGCTTGTGTGTTAAAAATGAAAGATACAAGTAATTTTGTTTTGTTTTTTTATTATAGAAAATAATTCATTTAATATTTAGTTTCTGCTCAATTGATTACCGTCGGTGAAGAAATTTGGTCAGATGTTCAGTAAGAATGAGTCCTTTGAAACTATTACATTAATTCTAATTCTAATGTAGATCAACAAATGTTCCTCATCATCGATTTACTCTATTTCAACAACTTCAATATTATTTAAAAGTTGTTGTTTTTCTTCTACCGAAATTTCATGATGAACTTGAACGTGATAATATTATTTCTCAATTAGTTCATCAAATGCTGAACGATGGTTTGTTTTATTTTTAATTTAAATCTAAATCTAATTGATTTTTTTTAGAAAATACGGTAACATTAGAGATTCGTTTAACATGTTCATTAGTTTGGCATTTATTAAAAGATAATGAACAATTATTACCAAATGCAAAAGTAAAAAAAATAGATTTTAGGAAATTTTATCGTTTTTCTTTTCAAATTCTTATTTAGCTTGATCGAATGAAACAAGTAACTTCTGTTGAATTATCACGATTAGCTTTATATTTTGGTTTGGTTAAAACAACTATGACAAATGATTTATGTGATATACATTTTTTTACTCAACTACTTGATGAAATTCTTGCGTTTAAAACGTTTGTTTTTAATTAAATTGTTTTTTGAGATAAATTTTCTTTTGTTCCAGACGTGATGCAACAATAACGGTTGGAATATCAAAAGCATTAGAAACATATTCGGAAGCATTAACGTAAGAAAATGATTTCTTTTTGTAATTTTCTATTTTTATTCTTCTATAGTTGCTCATGGACAAATCTTGATACAAGTTCATTAGAAAATATTGTTAAACAATTATTAACTTTTTCTTGGGATCATTTTAGTTATAATGTTGAAGTAATCGAAATTTGATTCATAACAAAACTTTTCACTAGAATATTTCTATTTATATTCTAGACAGTTCGACATTGTTCAGCAAATATTTATTCAAATATGTTTAAAATAACTATGAATCATAGTATGTTTAAATAATAGACAAGTATAAAATCATAATTGAAACTATGTTTTTTTCCGAGTTCATACGAATGTAAATACGCAGATTTTGAATTCTAAATATTTTATAATTTAGGTGATCTTCGTCAAATCATAATTGATTCTCAATTAACATTATTAAAACAACTTCCATGGCAAAAAGATGGATGTTCATTAGCTTATCATACACTTTTAGAATATATATCAGTTAGTGATATACTTCAATGGAATCCGAAATTACCCGAATCATGTCTTATGGCTATGAATGATCGAGGATTAGCATCAGAAGTAAATTTATAATTAATATTTATAAAATAAATATTCTTTCTCTTTAGGCAAGTTATCTTTATTATGTTTTATGTCATAAACATTATGAAGAAGAAAAATTAAAAGATCAATGGAAACAAATTTGGTTAAAACCAGTTGTTCATGCACTTGATACATCAACACCATTACATCGATTTCTTATTGCTGAAGTGAAAATTACTTTTTTATTAAATTAATTTCATAGATTTGTTTTTTTTTTCTTCTAGTATATTTTACCAAAAATTCTTAAAGGTCATCCAGAATATTTACAAGATTTAAAAGAAATAACAGGTTATTAGAGAAAATTGATTTTGTTTTTTTTCTAATAAATTTCTTTAATTTAAAGTTAATCCTCGAACATTGATTGTTTGTACACGTATCGGTCGAACATTAGGTTTATGTCCAAATATATTTTCAACATTTTCATTAATTGAACAGAATTTAATTCGTCAAGGAATAACAAGTGAAGATGAACATGTAACTATTCTTTTTTAATTTAAAAACAAAAATAAAATCTATTGTGTTTAAGATATGTCTTGATTGTTTATTTATTCTTTGTGAAAATCCTAAGACAACTGAATATATAATTGATATTGAATTTGATTTAATAAAATATTTTCTTCAAATGAATGTTGATAATGGTTCAACATCATTTAGAAATCAAGCAATATCATTACTGAAAAAAGTATTTTCAAATTAGTTTTTACAAATCTAAATACAAATCTTTTCTTTTAGCATTTTATTCGTCTAAAAGATAGTTGGTTATTCTGTGCAAGACAAAAATTAAAAAATATTGATCAAGATTTTGCTAATCTAACAGAAAGATATCGAGTACAATTATTTTAATAGAAAAAACGAAATTTAAAAAATCTTTTTTTTTTGTTCTTTAAGACTTATTTAAAATGGTTAATAAATTGGTGTTGTTCTCATTTATATTTGGAAGGATCTTATTGTCAACGTCATTTGTCAATATTAATACTTCATTGGTTAATTCATTTACATGGAAATGAAGGAATTCAAACAGTTTGTCGTAAATATTTTAAATCAATTTTATTTCAAGAAAAAATAAAACGTTTTTTTTATTCATTATAGAAAAATCTAAACTCTATGATTTTTATGAATTACTTGATAAAAATTCGATGGAATATTTATTAAATTGTTTATGGGATACATATGAAGATGTTCGTCAATATTCTCTTGAAATAATAATTAAATTGAATGTAAGTTTTGATTTCTTTCATAAATAATCCATTTCGCTAAAGATTCAATTGTTTCTTTTGCATAAATTTGTTGAAATAAGTTGTCAGGTATTGTATTATAAATTGCAGAACTTATTTGTAAATAAAGTGTTAAAAGAATCGTTTCATTTGAATCAAATGGATTAAGATATTTACATTCTTTATTAGAAGAATATATTTTCTCTAATGCATATTTAATTCCTTGTTCAATATTATTATTATCATTTGATAATAAATCAATTAAATCAAAAAATGTTTTATTTATTAAATCATTTGAATTTAATTTCATATTAATTTTTTTCAAAATATTTTCTTTTGAAAGACCATTAAGTGAATTAACAAGTAATTCAATATATTCAATAAATATATCAATTGAAGTTTTTTTTCCAAACATTCTTTCAACTAAATCTTTTGTTATTTCTAAACGTTTTGAATAAGAATGTTTACAATAGAAATAACCGATTGGAGATAATCGAAGTAATGATGAAGGTGTTGCAATTAATTTACTCGTTTTTCTATCCATATCAACTGCAATACCTAATGCTTGAGCAGCTTGAGTTTCACCAAATAAATCAATTGATTTTTTAAGATGAACACGTGGGGTAAAACAATGACCTGCTGGACACATATAACTACAAAAGAAAAACATTTTCATTTATTTATTTTATAATTAAACAAAAAATTAGTTTTGTTTACCCATTCATCCACCATTGAAAATATCTTTTTAATAAATGATCTTGAGAATAATCACCATGATGAGCTAAACTTGCTAAGAAACATAATGTTAATGAAATATCATCGGACCAAACTAAAGCTAAATCATCTTGTTCCATAAATTCTTTTTCCATTTCAATATGTTCAAGAATATACGGATCGATATTATGTGAGAATAAATTTTCTCCTAAGGTCATTGCATACATTGATGATAAAAGACGAGAATAATCTTCATTATTATTATTATTAATTGAAGGTGGATCAATTGGAGACATTTTATTAGGTCGAACACCTAATTCAATCATCCAATCTTTTTCTTCACATTCCAACGACATATTTTTGTTTTTATCTAAAGCTAAGGCGAAAATTATTAGTGATTTATAGATGAAAAAAAAAACAACTGACTACGCTGAAATATTTCGAAGCGATAAAACAAAAATATATATATATATATATAGTGCTTGATGTTTTTTTTCTTTTCTTCTCTTTTCTATTTTAAAAGTATGTCAAGAATAATAATATTGACCTTCGCGTTGAAGTATTATTTGATCGAATCTTACAATTATTATCCAGTACTCAACCACCTGAAACAGCAACTGGTGCTACACTTGTTCAATGTATTGCACAAATCAATTTAAAAAATCTTTCTCAATTAATTCATTCCGAGAATAAAAATGAAAATGATCAAATTTATTTATTAATTAATCATATAACAAAAAGATTAGATAATGAAGTTAAACAAGCCAAAACTAATTTATATCAAGCTGCAAAAAATGGACCGATGTATGGATGTTTAAGTGGTATTAATGCACTTTTAAATATCTTCATTGGTGATAAGTAAATTCAATTAAATAACATTTACAGAAATAAAAAAAATGTTTTTATCTTATTTAGATATGATAAACAAGATGAAATAAATCAATGGAGAGATTTATTTGCTCATTTAATTGAAATGAGTTTAGAAATAGCGTCAATAACTGGTCCAGTTGTAAGTACATCATCACCTGAAGGCATGTTACCAATGGAATTAACTGATAGTAGGTTTACTTTTTCTTTTATTCTTGTTTGAATTTAATTTCTTTATTTAAGTTAATGAAAAAGATGAAGAGTGTAATAGTCAAATAACATCACAAATGTTATTAGTATGTTGTTGGAGAACAATCAAAGAAATTTCTTTATTATTCAGTCGTTTGGGACAAATTGGAATAAAATTTATTGAAAATAAAGATCAATATCGATTTATTAGCTTAACACAAGTATTTCATTGGAATTATTTCAAATAAAATAAAAAACATTTTGATTTATTTAGATTGATGTTATATGTAATTATTTTATGGAACAATTATTAAAATCACGTCATTGTGGTGCATATGAATTAGCTTATACTGGTTTTGTTATTATCTGTGAACAACTCTGGAAGTATACGAAAATTTATTTTATATTTTCTGTTTATTTTAATAAAATATTTTTTTAGTTCAAGTTGTAAAGAATTATGTAACTTACCAATTGAATGGATTGAAAATGGTATTAAGATGGTTGAAGAAAATAGTTTAGATAAAAATAAACTATGTTTAACACGACGATCAGGTGGTTTACCTTTTTATCTTCAATCGATATTAACTGATGAACCAATTAAACAACGAGGACAACAAAGAACATATGTAGCCAAATTAATGGATACACTATTAAATATTATTCAAAATGATCCTGATACAATACAAGTTGAGGGACAAACATTAGAAAATAGTCGAAAGGTATTCAGATTTAATTGACAAGCAAACTGTCAGAAGTGATTAAGCCTCTACCCATATAAAAAGACTCGGTAAAAATCAGATTATAATCGAAAAAATCAAAGTGTCCGTAATTATTACGATGAATTGAGATAATAATCGATTTTGAATGATTTTTCTGACAAGATCCTTTATATCATTCTATTTGATATCAATTAAATATTTGTTTTGTTAATAGATCCATGCATATAATACAGCTCGTTCATTTTATCGTAATCAACGATTTGCAAATGATGTTTTACCATATATTGAACGTGGTCTTCATTTATCCATAACTGGATTTACATCATCAATATGGATGATACGAAATAGTGCAACATTATTATTATCAACAATTGTTCAAAGAATATTTGGTCCATCAAAAACAAAAGATGGAGAAGAAAATATATCAAAGAAAAATAGTATGACGTCAAGAGAATTCTTTAATAAATATCCATCATTATTTCATTTATTTTATCAACAATTACAACAAACAACAAGGTTAGTTCTTTGTTTGTTTTTTTGTCAAAAGAAATTCATTCTTTTGTATTTTAGTACTCGTTCATCAATTGAATCTTTATCATCGTCATGTTTATTTGCAATATTATTAATTCTTCGTCGACTTTATCCAAGTCCATTAGATGGAATTGATTGTTCATTAACATTAGATAAACTTTTACCATTTGTTATAAAATGTGAAGAATCTCCATTATTACGTATACGTGAACATTCATCAAAAGCTCTTTTAGCTTTAATTCATCATGATCAATATTCAACTATAATTCATCAACAAATAAAACAATTAATGAAAGTATCAAAAGATCATTTGAGACAAAATACTCTTCATGGTCGTCTATTACAAGTAAATTCTATTAATTATTAGAAAGAAAATATTTATTTTTAATTCAATAGATCAATGCAATATTTCTATCAATGAAAAAACATCATCTTGTATTTCATCTTGATCCAACATATACTTTACAAGAAATGCTTTCATCACTTCAATGGTGTATTTATCAGTTCGTATTCAGCTTTATTTTATTTTATCACGTAGAAAAAGCAAACTATCATTTTTCATAATCGTTTCTACGAGAAAGAGCTGAGCGAGTCTTCAGACAAGCGTTACTTCTTTATATGTATAGATATTTATTAGAAAATATACTAAAAAATAAAACATTAAAAAATATGATCTGATCGCTTGCATTGATTTTTCGTTGAAAGTTATGGAATACGTTTCAGAATACAATAAGCACATTTTCTTCTTGACTTTTCAATTCTACCCGGATTGTACTCCTGTATAAATTATATATTATAAGAAATTGAAAAAAAAAAAAATTATATAGTATGTTTACCTGAAGAATAAGAATTTGATGATTGTATAGTTGAGTCAGGTATTAATTGATGAGAAGTATAATCCAGTAAAGCATTCAGCAATTCATCAGCTGGTTGACTCGTAGTCCTAAATTCGTTTGCTTCCTTAGCACCATTGCATTGAGCATAATCATTAGATTGATTCATAGTTTGAATTAATGTCTATTAAAATCAAAGAATATTTATTAACAAAAACTAGTTGAATAGTGTCAATTTTACGTACTTTTAGAGTGATAATTGCGTATCTCTGAATAGATCAGTTATAAAAAAATTGCTTTCGCACCGCATCTTTTATCCGATAATATTGGCTGTGTGGAAAATCACAAGCAGCGCCAAAAATCAAACTATTTCAAATGATGTAATCAAGTTTTCATCCATAGTTATGCGGGAATTTATCATGTTATTGCATAGCGATAACGTTGTTTCATTTTTCTAAACATAGGCACAAATATTCTCTTTCTCGTAGAGAGAGAGAGTCTAGCAGAGATAATTTTTGAAGAAAGTCTTTAGCTCTATTAGAAATACCAATTCGACGAGAAAGGCCTTTCATGAAATATTTCTAATAAATAAATTTTTTTATTTGTATAGAAATAATTGTTCATTAACCCAATATTGTTATTTGGAATTTTTATACAATATTCATTGTCAAATAAATTCGAATGAATTAACAAATACTATAAATGAATATATAAATTTTATGTTAAAAAGTGGTGATAAAGTAACAATTGGAAGTGATGATTTAACTCGTATATTAACACGTTTAATAATTCGTCTTGAAAATGTTTCTGTTCTATTAAAATTATTTCTTTTTGTTGAACAAACACAAACAGAATTATGTTTTGTTGAAACACTTTTATTAGAAAATAATTTGTCTCTATTTGAAAATAATATTCGACAATGGATAACTGATTTATTATTAACAATGGATTTATTTAATGAACAACTTTATACGAAAACATGTGAATTACTTTTAAAAATGATTGACAAAACTAATAATTATGAACGATTAACAAGACGAATTATTCATCTAATCGATAAATTAAGACGGTAATTAGAAAGAATCTTCTTCTTCTTCTTTAAATAAAAAAAACTTGATTATTTAGTCCGATGAGTTTAGCAGCAAGTTTTGATTTAATTGGTGAATTATTACCACTTTGTTCATCAACAAGTAACAATGAAGACGATCTTGTTAAACTTGTTTATGATCGAATGAATGATTTTGTTGATGGAGAAAATAATGATGAATGTGCTTGTGCTATTCTTAATGTTCTTAATAAAGCTCGAACATGTTTATATAATCCATCAAATGGTAAAACAAAAATAACTTGAATTTCATTTTTTTATTTTCTTCTGTTTTTTTTTCTTAGCAAAAAGTGTCTGTGATTATTGGAAATTAATTTTAAAATTATCTTCATTTTCATCTGATATTGTTCGAAATAAATTTACAAAAACAATGCCATTAATTATAAATGATAAACGTCTTACAGGTGTATTTGGTGCTAATTGTTATTTAACACAAAATGTTTTATTTGAATATTTTATTTCTGATGCATTATTATATTCATCCGGTGATATATTTGTTAATCTTATTATGAAT